ATATGCTGCCAGTTCATTCTGTCCTTTGTGCGACACCCATTCCCTGTGCCAGGCTCTGTGGAGGTCCTGGATGTTAAAGAGGGAGCAGGCATGGCCCTGGCCTTCCCAGTCTTGTAGGAGACTGACCATGCCCATGAATAGTGGCTGTGCATGTGGTCAGAGCCACAGGGTCAGTTCCAGATGGCCCTCTTTCTCTGTTCTGTTCCTTACCTGGCCCTGGGTCTTTTTGTTTCTTCCATTCACTTTTTGTTTTAAACAAGTATTTCCTGCTCACCTTCCATGTGCCAGGCCTTGGGATGCAGTGGGAGAGGACTCTGTCCTCCTCAGTAGAGGCCCTACCTCAGAACAGGTAGCGGAGAGAAACAACATGACCAGGACACCTGGTCCCCCTTCCTCCCCCAGCATTCTGAAATTCCTTTTATTATTGTTGTTGTTGTTGTTGTTCTTGAGACAGAGTCTCACTCTGTCACCCAGGCTGGAGTGTAGTGGCGCCATCTGGGCTTATTACAACCTCTGCCTCCCAGGTTCAAGCAATTCTCAGTGTCTTGAGTAGCTGGGACTACAGGTGCCTGCCACCATACCTGGATGTATATATATTTTTGTATTTTTAGTAGAGACAGGGTTTTGCCATGTTGGCCAGGATGGTCTCAAGCTCCTGACCTCAGGTGATCCACCCACCTCGGCCTCCCAAAGTGCTTGGATTACAAGCATAAGCCACCTTCCCAGGCCTGAAATTCTTCAATATCTACCCCTCCTTCTGCCAGTTGGTGCAGCCACAGTGGGCTGCTTATGCATATTCTGGCCTGGCTTGGTGGGGAGTGGGGCTGAGAGAGAGCCAGGACACCCATCAATTAAGGAGGTAGAAGTCAGTCTGACTGAGATGCCTCCTGCCACACTTCCTCAGCTGCCAGCAACAGACACCGTTAACCTGATTTCCTTCCCCCTCTGTTGACTGCACTGACTATTGGACTGAATGGGAAATAGCCCTGTGCACTTCAAAATACATTTCCCCTCCTGCAGGTGCATCTTGTAATTAGGCCCAAGCTGTGAGCCTGCCCGCTCCTCCCCTGGCCCTGCACAGGCAACAAAGCTGAAGTTAATCAGAGGTACAAATGGCTGGCTGGGCCTCTCAGACACAAAGCTTCTGAAACATGTATCAGTGCTTTGGAAGTGAAAAGCTCCTACTATTGCAATGCCAGGTTGGCGCCCACAAGGGCCAGACAGCATTCGTTAGGCAAAGCCAGTGGGAGTGGGTGATCTGATCCCAGCTCTGGTTTGTTGATTTGTTGCTTTGTTTTATGTTTTTTTGTTTCGGGCAGGGTTTGGGGGTATGAAAAGCTGACACAATTGTTTACTATTGTAGCCCCCAGAACCCAGCACAAGGCCTGGAACAGGGAGACCCTTTTTGAATGGAAAAGTCTTTTTTTTTTTTTTTTTTTTTGAGACAGAGTTTTGTGCTTGTTGCCCAGACTAGAGTACAATGGCGCCATCTCAGCTCATTGCAACCTCCGCCTCCTGAGTTCAACTGATTCTCCTGCCTCAGCCTCCGGAGTAGCTGGGATTACAGGTGCCCACCACCACGCCCAGCTAATTTTTTTACATTTTTAGTAGAGATGGGGTTTCACTATTTTGGCCAGGCTGGTCTCGACCTCCTGACCTCAGGTGATCTGCCCACCTCGGTTTCCCAAAGTGCTGGGATTACAGGCATGAGCCACCGCACCTGGCCTTGAATGGATAAGTCTTAAGGGCTATTTTTGGACAGGATTTTCTAAAAAATACCCACGTCTCTACACTATTGCAGAAGGCTTTCAGTTTTGATGGCAGCCTTTCAGGCCAGCCTACATGCAACTAAACTTTTCCATAACTGCATCACACTTACACAAGAAGGTGGTTTTATAATCCTGTTTCACTTGCCATTATTTAACAGTTCTTCCTCCTTAACATTCAAGATCTGAGCACTATCACATTCTTTTTGTTTTTGTTTTTCTTCTAAATCAAGTCAAGGTGAGTCGCTCACCTTGAGCCAGAGTTGGACAGAAATCTATTCTTGACCATATTCCCCCCGCCGCCCCACTACCTTGGAACCTTATAGAACTTTATGTGGTTCAGGAAAATGAGGGCAAAGGCCTCAGATCTTCAACCCATGACAGCTGTATGCCCAGCTCCCTGCCTTCCTGCCTCACTCCCAACTAGGGCACAGAACCAACTACTGTGCTCAGAGAGGTGCCAGAGCCTGTAGCACCCCCAGACCTCCCAGGTCCAGCCACAGCCACCCCAGAGCCCAAAAAGACGGTCTTCAGAGAGACCTTTAAAATACAAGCAGCTGATGATTCTACTCTCCCAGCCCCGGCCTTAAAGACCCAGAACTCTCTGCACAAAGGCCATCCTTCAAGGGGAGGGTAAAAGAAATGGAGAATCACATTGTCATTCTTTAGTGTCTCCATACAACACCCAGAACCGGGCAGAAGCTAATTATATCAGAAGCATACTCCATGTTGCTGCATCAGCTTTGGGATGTTCATTTTTAAATTTATTTATAGCTTGTCTCATTCCTCAAAGGAGTTCAGGCAGCTACAAAAATAAAGACAATAAAATTGAAAAAAGTTAAATTAAAAAAATCATGACCAGGGAAAGTATGCAGTAGAATGAAGTGTCAATTATCACATTTTCTGACTGCAAAATCTCCCCCACAGCTGATGCATCATCATTTACTAAGACAGCCCCTCTCGTTGGACATTTCGTTTGGGGTGGTTTGTTGCTGTTGCTGTGGTTGTGGTTTTGTTTTATTGAATTTTGTGTTAGCTGCAGCTAATACCATCTTGCTGATGGCTTTGTGCTGCTCTTGAACGATTACTCAGGATAAATTCCCTGGAGACGGATTATAGGATCAGAAGGTCTGAACTTCTGTGTGGCTCTAGCTACAAAGCACCAGATTGCTTTCCAAGAGTGTTGTAGCAATTTATAATCCAACACCCAGCCTATGCTTTGGCTGGGAGTCAAGCCCCAGAATGTGAAGGAGGGGTCTTGGCCTGGAGCGGGGGCTGAGGGATGGTTCACAGGACTGCCTCCTTATTGGTTATTTATGGGGATGGGCCAGGAGGAGCAAAGGAGAGGCCCCTGCCCTCCCAGTTGCTCATTGGAGTGACTGGCCCTACAGGGGAGGGGCAATGCTACCTCGCATTTAGAACTATATGGTTGGTAATGGATGGTCAAGGTCTGATCGGCATCCTCCTCCCTCTCCCCACAGCCAGTAACGGCTGCACTATGTCCTATGTCCCAGATCTGGGTCCCTTATGCTGTGGGAACACCAATAATATACTCTCCTGCCAGAAATGGTGAAGGAGGGCTGTGGCATGGTGGCGGGCACCTGGAAACCATCCAGCCTTCATGAGAAAGAGCAGTTAAAGCACAGTCACTTATGATGTTGGTATTGATTAAAAGCCTTATGGGCAGAGAAATTTGCCATCTGCCAGGGCTCCAGCCATACATCTTCCATGAGACTGAGACCTCTCCAACGGCAGGGGCCTTGCCTTCCTCATCAGATTAGAAATTCCCTAAGGTTGGAGACAGTGTCCTTCCCATCTGCTTGAGCACTCCTAAGGGGCATGTTTTCTGTCTCCCCATCATACCTGGAACTTCCTGGGAGCATTGTTGTTCCTGTCTCCTTCCTCGGATGGGGAATCCCCTGAGGGCAGAGGCCATGTCCTTCCACCCCATTGGAGTTCCCTGAAGTTGGGGACCACATCTCTGATGTACAATGCTTTGTATATACTGGCTGCTGCAGGATTCTTGGAGTAAATGGGCAGTCAGCTTCTTGGAATGGTATTGACCATCTGGACTTCTTCAGAGTGTCAAAGACTTCGCCATTCATTAGACAGGGGCCATATGCACAGGCAGAGTCCTGGCCTCTGGCTTCTGGCTACTGACTCCTGGTCCCTCTGTTTTAATTTGGCTAATGGCAGAACCAGACTCTTTTCTGGGATACCCTGAAAGAGGATCCATGAAAGAAGGATAGGGTGGGAAGGTGTCAGCTGGCATGATTATCTTTTATGCCCTGGGGGGGCTGCTGTCTCTGGAAATGTAGGTCTAGGGTAGGGAGACTGTTGAGCATTTCACACCCTAGGCCAGAGGAGGGGTGATGTGTGGAGCAGGGCTAAGCTAGTAGCCCATGAGGTATGATGTCTAGACAGCACCCAGGGCTCACAGAGCCTGTTACTCGTGTTATCTCCTCTGACCTTGGAAAGAGCCGGGGTATATGAACAAGTATTTATCATTTACAAAAATCAGATGAGGAAACTGAGGCACAGGGAAGGTAAATGACATGCCCTAGGTTATACAACTTATAAGTAACAGGGATTCTGCCCTTCTCTGACATCAAGTCCCACTCTCTTTGCTTCCTGGAGTCCTTATGACTGATCTAAAGGCCACACATTTAACACAATAAGGAGGGGGACTCTGTTGCAGCAAACCTGCCCCACCTGCACACAGACTCTAAGGGACATCCTGCTTTAAGCCGTCCTTAGTTACTAATACCTCAATGTGAAGGAGTTTGAAATTTTCTCAAGAGCCATGGGAGATTAGGAAGCCTCTAAGCTTCACAGAGAACCCAGCTTGGGGAGACACAAGAGCCAAAGGCAGAGGAAGGAGTAGCAGCTTGGTGCCCCCGGAAACATGTGCTCCTGACCTCACAGTTGGCCACAGACGGCCAACTCTCCTTCTCCCACCACTTTCCCATGGGGCTAACTTCACTCTGTCCACACAGAGTGACTTAATGGCTTAAGCCCCAGAGTCGGGGACCTGGGTACCTGGGACAAGAGTCTTGAGGGAAATGGGGTGAGAACCTGGAGGTGCCACAGGGCTAGCGTTCTGCCCCTAGCCTACCGGCACTTTGCCCTGCAGGCTGTCCCCGCTGGGCTGGGCTGCCTCTGGCCACCCTGGGTGCCTCCATGTGTAGCTGTCACGTTCCTCCCACTGAGCTCATCCCTGTTCTTCCTCCGCAGTTTTCATGAACACGGCCATCCCCATTGCAGCTGTTCTCATAGTAAGTGGATCTTCTCTCCTTCTCTCGGGGTGGGTGGAGGGGGAGGACATCTGCAGTGAGAGGCCACCAAGGCTTGACCTTTCTACACAGGGGCCTCAGAAGGCAGGCTCCACAGCCAGACTGCAAACAGGATTGGAAATTTATAGAGGGTGTGGCCCCTCCCCAACTCTAGCCGGACAGGGGCCTCTACCTCCCGGCATGGAAGACCCAAGGGTTAGGCTGGGTGGGGTGGCTCACGCCTGTAATCCCAGCACTTTGGGAGGCTGAGGCAGACAGATCATGAGGTCAGGAGATCGAGACCATCCTGGCCAACATGGTGAAATTCCGTCTGTACTGAAAATACAAAAATTAGCTGGGCATGGTGGCACATGCCTGTAATCCCACCTACTCGGGAGGCTGAGGCAGGAGAATCTCCTGAACCCAGGAGGTGGAGGTTGTGGTGAGCCGAGATCGCGCCATTGCACTCCAGCCTGGGTGACAAGAGTGAAACTCCGTCTCAAAAAAAAAAAAAAGACCCAAGGCTTAGTATTTAGAGAAATTACTTTTAAAAAATAGCTATCCAGGTTTTTAATTTTTAAAGTAAAGCATGTGTGTTGTAGAAATGATGGGAAATCCAGAACAGAAAGCACAAAGAAAATTTAAATCACCCATAATCCCACTGGTAACATGTCTAATGTGTTTTTTTCCAGTCTTTTTTTAAGGCCTATGAGATGTCATTTTCTATAAAAATAGGAATGTGCTGCGCATGCAGTTTTGTAACCTGCTCTTTTAAATTTAAGAACATGCCACACGCAATTCTCCATGCCATTAGATAGTGCAATGGTGGCTTTCTAAAGCAATTTTGATAAAAGCTGTGTGTGAACTCAGCCACTGGGGGCAGGCAGCGTGCTCCTACAGAAAGGCCTGGGCTCCCGCGAGCCTGCAGCCCCCTCACTCAGCCTCGCATCTCCGCCTTCTGTGATGGCTACAGTTCCTTAAAAAGATCTATTTATTCCCCCCGGACCGGTGTCCCTGAGCTGTGTAGAGTTCACAGCCTCTCCGGCACGCTTGGGAATTCACTTCCAATGTGATTTATTGAGCTGGTTCCTGGCCTGGCTCTTCGGGAACTGTGGGTAACAGGCCACTGAGCCTGCCAGGTGGCTGGGGCAAAGCCCTGAGCCATGAGATGATGGTTTCGTAATCACTGTGTTTACGGTTTCCCGATGAGGACTGGGGAGATGAGCACCCCGCCTGCTGTCTGAGGAGAGGGCAGTGCTGACCTAACCTGGGGTCTCCTCCCTGCTCATTCCCGGCCAAGACTGGGCAGGACGGGGAGGAAGCAGCTCCTGCTCTCCAGCTTGAAGTCCTGAACTTGTTGGGGAAGCTTCCGTGAGATGACTGTGGGGTTGATGAGGGTGTCTCCAACTGAAAGGTCCTCTTCGGAGCCCCCTCCCTGCCAGCCCTCTCGTTTCCCTTCCAGGGCTGAGCGGTTCCAGTGTGGGAGGGGCCCACACCCTGGGCCACCCCGGCCTCACTTGTGCCTCTGTCCACAGACCTTCATGGGCCACGTCAGCTTCTTCAAAGAGGCCGACTTCTCGCCGTCCGTGGCCTTTGCCTCCCTCTCCCTCTTCCACATCTTGGTCACACCGCTGTTCCTGCTGTCCAGCGTGGTCCGATCCACCGTCAAAGCTCTAGTGAGGTGAGGGGAGGGTCTGGGTCAGGGCACTGGGCGGGCAGCTCCTGTGTCAGCCTCAGGGCTTGCTTGAGTGACTGCCAATCCGTAGTTATTTGGTCCCAGGACACACCCCCATTGCTGGGCCTCGATGCAGCTGGTCCTGGTTGGTCAGAGGGACATTGTCCTGTATGGTTTTCCAGCTCACCATCCCTAAGCAAGGACTTGCTTACATACCTCCCAGGAGAGGGGATTCACTGTCACGTCCACGGCAACCAAAAAAAAATAATAATAATGTTGAGCCAAATGTGGAATCTTCCTAAATTCTACCCACTGGTCCTAACTGCGCCCTCCTGAGCCAGCCAGAATGAGGCCATCCCTTCCCCACGTGGCAGCACCTTGGATATCAGAAGGCATCCACTGTGTCTGTCTTGCCCAGGCTGAGCATACCCTACCCTTCCCACAGCCCTGAGACCTCCGCCTCAGACAGTGAAACAGTTTCCCCCAAGCGCTGGGTCCTGCTCAGATTGGCCCACAGCTCTTGGAGGCTCCCACTTCTGGGCTCTAGAGCCTCATGGGGACTCTGCCTCTGTCCCAGAGGCATTGCCCTCTTGGGAATGAAAGCTTGAAGGTAGAAGGCTGAGGCTATGGCTGGGAAATGCCATATCTGGAGTGTGAAGACCTCCTCTGAAATAGCTCTGGCTCCTTGAAAGCAAGAACTTGTCATGCCTCTGTGGAGGACTGGCTTGTCCTTACCCATGGCCAGAGGACCAGTCAGTAACAAATGTCCTCTGTGTCTTCAGCCTTGAGGAAGGTGACACCCCTGTCTCATGGGACCCTGGCAGGTTCTGGGAAGCTGGAAGGAAGGAGTAGTTGTTGAAATTAAATAGCTGATAGAGGGGGTAGCTTGCATGGGGAGGCACTGGCATGAGTTCAAAGATGGAATGGGGTATAACTCAGCAGAATTATGCTCTAAGGAGCACTGACAAAGGAGTTGTTGGTTGAACAGGGATTAGCTCCCATTTCCATGATCGTCTGTGCTGAGTCAGTTTCTTGGCCGTGGCCTTGTGGGGTCTGATGATCACCCACCTCCCGCCACCGACTCTCCAGCCCTACGATTCTGTGTAGAAACCACAGATTCAAGAATGCTGTACCTGCCAGGAAACTGTTGCACTGATCCCAAAGCATTCACATTTTCAAACACTCTGGATCCCACTGTTTCCAGGAAAGGAACACCAGACTAGCAGAGGCCTTTTCAGTGAGGAAGCTCAGGCTCTGGCTGAAGGTGGGCTCGGGACACTACCTGAAGCTTCACCCAGGAGATGAGGGCCAGCTCCACCCTTCCCAGTCGCTGCCTGCTGGGGAGGAAGGCTGGACAGGAGACAAGGGCAGAGCCTGGCGGTCCGCCCCTCCCATCTAGGGGGTGGCACACAGAAAGGGTGACTCCAGGCCACAGCTCACTTACAGCCCCAGAATAACCTTGTCTTGAGGGTAGGATGGCTTGTCTGCCCCAAGCTTATTGGATATTCACAGAAGAGAAGAAAGGAGAATACAAACAATCCTGAGCTTCCCAGAAAGCTTTCATACCTCCAGGATGGGAGAGAAAGAGCTGGAAGAGTAAAGCTTCCAGTGCCTCCTCGGACCCACAGGGAAATCGAGACAGAGAAGCGGGTGGGACTAGCTGCCTCCCCCATGAGTAATGACACCTCCCCCAGGAGGCTGTTATGGGGATTTGATTGCATAATGCTACAAAGCAGTTAACACAGTGTCTGGCATATAGTGCGTGCTCACAAAATATTAGCTATTGATTCTTAACCAATCTTAGTCCTAACTAACCTTAACCCTGACCAACCCAACGTCAACCATCCTTCAGTCTAATAACTCAGACTAACCAGCTTCAACATTAAACCAACCCTAAAATTAACCAATCCCACCTCTAATCCAGACCCCTACCTACTCCAGCTGACTGGTCAACCCTAGCAAACCCTGGTAACACCACTTACCTGCCCCCATGGGAATGCTCACTGGTCTGCCCCCTTCAGTGTGGGCTTTGTGGAACTACACTTCAGGCCCAAGAGGCTTCTCAGAGCTCTCTCTCAGGCCGCACCCTCTCCCCTCCCCTCTGCCCCTGGCAGGGGTGAGGGGCGTCTCTGTGCTTCCCGTGCAGCGTGCAAAAGCTCAGTGAGTTCCTGTCCAGTGCAGAGATCCGCGAGGAGCAGTGTGCCCCCCGTGAGCCCACGCCCCAGGGCCCAGCCAGCAAGTACCAGGCAGTGGTGAGTGCCCGGCCTCCCCTTGCTACTCCCAGCATGGCCCTCTAAGGCCGGAAACTCGGCCCCCCTGTGTCGGACTTCTGCCTTTTTTCCCAGGAAGAGGGGCTCCCTTACCTACACAGCTCCCAGCCCAGTGGGTTCACCTCCAAACCACCCCCAGCCCCTCAAGGTTGTGAACCGAAAGCGTCCAGCCCGGGAGGACTGTCGGGGACTCACGGGCCCCCTGCAGAGCCTGGTCCCCAGCACAGATGGCGATGCTGAAAACTGCTGTGTCCAGGTGAGTCCTAGACCCTGCTGCCCCGTGCCTGGCCACCCAGCACCAGCTCCCAGAGGGAGCTCACCTGGAAGGCCTGAGAGCCATATGCTGAGAGTCCTCTGCAGAGGGAACCCTGCCCACTGGTAGAGTCCATAGGAATCCAGAAACCAGGGACAACCAAGTGGGGGGACCCCCAGCCTTAGGCAGGGGTCAACATGAGAAGGCCAGTTTCCCACTTCCTTGCTCGAGAAGCGATCCAGGGCCTGGAATCAGTGTCTTTTGGCTTTCATGGAAGAGGAGAGGCCAGAGACTACTCACAGTGGGAATGAGCTGCTTTTCTGTTCTCTCCTGGGCGGTGGGGCATGGCCAATGAAGATCATGGGAGGCTACTTCACGTGGACCCCAGATGGAATCCCCACACTGTCCAACATCACCATTCGTATCCCCCGAGGTATGGCCCAGTCCACCCCTCCAGCACACCCCTCACCATGTCCCACTGAATAACATGGAGATAAGAAGACAAGGCCACACTTATTGAGTCCCTGTTCTCTGCTCATTCTTGGTGGGTGCCCTGGGTATACTAGAGAAGGGGTGGGCTACATTCTAGAGGCTTCCGTGTGCAAGGTGGGAGTGCAGCACTAAAGACAGGGTAAAACTGCCAGCCTTAATTTCAAACCATCCATTGCAGGCAGTACAGGAAATGCACAGAAAGATTAGATGTGGGTAGCCAAAGAAGATAGTGGAAGAGGTGGGGTTTCTGAGAATGGGCAAGGTCCCAGAGGCCATGAGGCAGGAGGACCTCTGGCAGAGGCAGCCATATGCAAATGGAGGTGGGTTGGAGGTGGCACCTGGGATAGCATTTCTTGGGATCACAAGGAGCTGGGCTCACACTGGGAGAGTGGGCAGGGAGAAGCAAGTGCTTAGGAAGGGCGGTGGGTCAGGAAATCTGAGAGGAGGAAGGACCCGAGGAGCCAGAGGAGGATGTTAATTTCCAGAAAGAAAGGCTTAAAGAGGGAGAGGACTTGTTGGGGATTCTAGGTAGGAGGAAAGAAAACAGGGGCCCCAAGGTTGGGTGCATCTGTCTGTCTGTCTTTCTGGGCGATGGTTGTTCAGACTTCCCCTGGCCCCACTCCCATCTGCCACCCTCCCTCCCTGCAGGTCAACTGACCATGATCGTGGGGCAGGTGGGCTGTGGCAAGTCCTCGCTCCTTCTAGCTGCACTGGGGGAGATGCAGAAGGTCTCGGGGTCTGTCTTCTGGAGCAGGTAATAGATGCATCCTCAGGGCTCGGCAGAGGGGAACTCCTTTCAACCATCCTTCTCAGTTGAGGATGCACACGCTTTTATTGCAATGGCCACTGTGTGTTCAGTGAGGACTCAACAAACACTGCTAATTGTTATTCTCATCATCATCGTTACTATGAGCAGGTTCTTTGCTAAGTCCTTTGCATGCATTATTTCATTTAATTTTTATGGTAACCAGCAAGGTCCATACTGTTCTCAATTCTCATTTATAGAGGAAGGTTAAACTATTTGCCCTAATTCACACAGCTAATAAGTGGCAGAGCTGGAATTGAAACTGAGTTCTGTCTGACTCTAATCCCATGGTTACTCAGCTGCACAGTAGTAATTTCCCAGTGTGGGAAATTGCAGCACCAGCATTGGTTTCCAGCTTGGTCATGAGCTGCACTGACACACACACACCATCAGTGGGTGTTCTGAGGATCCAGATATAACCAATAAATGTTGGTTTCTGGGGAAAGATCACTGTCTTAATTAAAGAGCCAGAACCCCAGGCTGAGTCAATCATGAATCTATTATTTATACCCACCTACTTCCAAGAAGCACTTGAAACTAGTTGATAAAAGATGCGTGTAAAAATCAAAACCACAGTGAGATACCATCTCACGCCAGTTAGAATGACGATCATTAAAAAGTCAGGAAACCGATGCTGGAGAAGATATGGAGAAATAGGAACACTTTTACACAGTTGGTGGGAGTACAAATTAGTTCAACCATTGTAGAAGACAGTGTAGTGATTCCTCAAGGATCTAGAACCAGAAATACCATTTGACCCAGTAATTCCATTACTGGGTATATGCCCAAAGGATTATAAATCATTCTACTATAAAGACACATGCACACATATATTTACTGCAGCACTATTCACAACAGCAAAGACTTGGAACCAACTCAAATCTCCATCAATGATAGACTGGATAAAGAAAATGTGGCACATATACACCATGGAATACTATGCAGCCATAAAAAGGATGAGTTTGTGTCCTTTGTAGGGACATAGATGAAGCTGGAAACCATCGTTCTCAGCAAACTAAAACAGAAACAGAGAACCAAGCACCAAATGTTCTCACTCATAAGTGGGAGTTGAACAATGAGAACATATAGACACAGGGAGGGGAACATCACACACCGGGGCCTGTTGGGGGGTGGAGGGCTAGGGGAGGGACAGCATTAGGAGAAATACCTAATGTAGATGACAGGTTGATGGGTGCCACAAACCACCATGGCATATGTATGCCTATGTAACAAACCTGCATGTTCTGCGCATGTATCCCAGAACTTAAAGCATAATTTAAAAAAAAAAAAAAAAAAAAAAGATGCTGGGCGTGGTGGCTCACGCCTGTAATCATAGCACTTTGGGAGGCCGAGGCGGGCAGATCATGAGGTCAAGAGATTGAGCCCATCCTGGCCAACATGGCGAAACCCCATCTCTACTAAAAGTACAAAAAATTAGCCTGGCGGGGTGGTACGTGCCTGTAGTCCCAGTTACTTGGGAGGCTGAGGCAGGAGAATCGCTTGAAACCAGAACACAGAAGTTGCAGTGAGCTGGGATCGCGCCACTGCACTCAAGCCTGGCGATAGAGACAGACTCTGTCTCCAAAAAATAATAATAGTAATAAAAATAAAATAAAATAAGATTCATGTAAAATAAAACCCTTTAAAAAGGTAAGAAAATAGGAGCTGAGAAATGAAGAGAGTAAAAAGATGTTCAGAAACCCGGGCAGATGACAACGACAGCCAGCTCTGCGCCCTCCCGTAGCCAAGGGAAAAAGGGATCTTTGGTCTTTGTAGCATTTATTTAGGAATACAAGTTGCAGCCAATCAGTGGAAGGGCAAGCTTTCCCTGCCTATCATTTCTAGGAGAAAATTATTCAAGGTGTCAGGTTTTTCATAAGCATGAGTGCAGAACCGAGCAGGGAGAAGGACTTTAGGCCCAATGTCTGAGTATCAGTATGCACCCCCATTTCTTGCATTTCTAAGATGTCCCTGAATCATGTACCCAAAAGGTGACCAATGTCCCTCCTCAGTGGGGCTATGGGCTGGCAGATGAGCCCCTTGGGTTTCCTATCACCTACCATGGGGGACTGTGATGTCTTTGTGGGCAGAGGGGTCTTTGCCTCCTTTGCCATCTTACTTGGGAGATTTCTCAACATATCCTGGCTGGGAAGGTCCAGGTATTAGGTTTGAGATCATTTTGTCTTATTCCGACTGCATCTTCAGCTTTTGGAGGGAGGAGCCCTTTCTGTTGTCTGACTGCATGTCTACAGCAAGAAGACAAGAGTCCCCAGTGCACTGTGAGCTGAAGAAAGTAACCAGTATTTATCGGGCACCTGCTATGGACCGTGCCCTTTGCTAAGTGCATTGTCAACATGATCTCATCAAGCCTCCTACTAAGTTTAGGAGGGGAGTGTTGTTACCCCATTTCACAGAAGCAGAAACGGAGGCTCAGAGAGGTTGGGTGACTTCCTGGTCAGTGTGTGGAGCAGAGACTCTGCCCATGTTCTTTCCCTCAAGCCTGGCCACTGCTGGGCACCCAGGGCCTAATCCTAAGGGGTATTGTCCAAGCTCCATGTAGCGGTCAGGGAGGATCTGGGCACTCCTCCAGGGCAGGGCTTTTCCAGAATGATTGCAGGGCTCAGAGACTGGAGCTGCCCCTGCCTTCCCCTGCTCAGCATGGATGTCAAAACCCACTCTGAACCTGGTCCCTTTGCCCTGCTTTCTTTACCTCCTCCCCCACCCTCTTGCCCTCATGTGGCATCGTGCCAGCCTCAGCACCTCTCCTTGTCCTCTGCAGATGCAGCAGGCATGACTGGCAGGGGCTCAGCTCTGCCCTGCCTTGGGCCCCATCTCTTCTCCAAGCTGTGCCAACCCTAAGAGTCTGACTGCTGCCATCTCTCTCTTTGGAAGCCTCTGCCCCAACCCAGGGAACACAAGGAGCCTCTCCAGAGCAAAGGACCCTAAGCACTTCTATTTTTAAATTTTATTTTGGGTTCTGGGATACATGTGCAGAGTGTGCAGGTCTGTTACATAGGTATACCTGTGCCATGGTGGTTTGCTGCACCTATCAACCCATCATCTAGGTTTTAAGCCCCTCATTCGTTAGGTATTTGTCCTAATGCTCTCCCTCCCCTTGCCCCCAACCCCCGACAGACCCAGTGTATGATGCTTGCCTCCCTATGTCCATGTGTTCTCATTGTTCAACTCCCACTTATGAGTGAGAACATGCGGCATTTGGTTTTCTGTTCCTGCCTAAGCAATTCTTACAGGCCAGACACTTCACCATCACAGTCAGTCTGCACCAAACTCTGTGCAGTAGATATTATTATATCCTCATTTATCAGATAAGGAAACTGAGGTGAAGCAAGTTGCCCAAGGCCACCCAGCTGTTAAATGGCAGAAGTGGGATGTGCACCTGGGTGATCAAGTGCATGGGTTTCCCACCATGTGCTCAAAGAGAAGGGCACAAGAGTATCATGAAGAAAGCGTAGCTAGCCTGACAGTCCAAAGGCCAGCAGCCGCTGTGGCCGTGACTCACACACACCTGCCTCCTCCCAGAGCCATCGCGTGGGTCCTCACAACTCTGTCCTCATCAACACTTACTCTCCAACAGGCAGCCCAGGTCCCAGCTCCCGGCTCTGTTCGAGGCTCGCAGAGGAGCAGTAGCGAAAAGGGTCTCGTTTCTTCAGGATCCTTTTTTGCTTTCCTGCCCGATCCAGCTTCCCTGTCAAGCATAGTGAAGTACATTTGTTAGCTTGCAGCCAACCCTGGGAAGTCATGAGAATTTGCGCCCAACTCAACTCATGCTCCAGTGTCCACAGTGACTTATTCACTCACCCAGTTGAGAGTCTAGTGTGTGCTAGACCATGTGACAGCAACAGGAGTGCCAAGGTGACTAAGACATGGCCCTGCTTTTAAGGGAGGTGAGAGGAGTCCTGGGCCTTAGAAGAGCACAGAGGAACCACAATTGACACTACAGTCAAGGAGAGGGGGCTCACTGTGGATGTGGTATTTGAGGATGAGTGTGGTTTCATCAGGTAGAAAAGGCAGGGGTGGGAGAGGGAGGTGTTCCAGGCAGGGGTGACGGTGTGGGCAAAGGCTTGCTGATATTAAAGAACATGGTTCTGTGCGCCTGCAGTACTGGTTGCATGGGGTGCATTATGACAGACGGGACTGAAGAAGTCAACTTGTACTAGGTCTGAGAGGTGAGATTTAGCCCAAAGGCTGCAAAAGAACCATGTTTGTGGTAAAGGATGATGGACTGGGGAAACAGAGTAAGAGACAGACAGAAAGACGGTAGGAATGGAGGCATTAGCAAACAATCAAAATACAGCGTCAGGTGTGCATGAATACTATTTGCTCATTTCAAATATTGATGGAGAAGAGAAGTAGCTAAATAGTGGGTTAGGAAAAAGCTTGGGCAAATGCATGTGGAAATGAGACAGATGTCAAGGTGCATTGTAATGGCAGCCTCTTAAAGGCCTTAAGGTGTTCCTGGTTCACTCATTTCACAAATGAATTCATTTAGCAAAAGCACTATGGATATAGTACCTACCTATGGGAGGTAAGATGTAGCCCAAATGCTGCAAAAGAATCGTGCTTGTGACAAATGATGGATTAGGGAGAGAGAAAAAGAGACAGACCGACAAACTATAGGAAGGAAGGCCAGTCTAGAGCTCCTTATAGTGGCTAGGAGGAGGAGGAGGAGTCCAGGCAGATATGACTCAGTTGGCTTCATCTGCTGTTTGTCTCTCAGAATCTGGACATGTACACTGCTCTGGCTGGCCCACCTACCCTGAGCATTGAGTTAAGTGTGGGGGCTGTGTGTTGAGTGTCCCCCTCCATTATTGGTAGGAGCTCCATAGCTCTGATATTGGGCCCCAGGTCTGCAGGGAGAAAATGTGCTTGCAAAGAGAGCTAAAAGCAAAACAGCCTTTGACCTGGCAAGCCCTCTCAAGTCTGCGTGTCTACAGCCAGAGGTGAGGGTGATGCCAGGCTGCTCAGATGCTTTTCAGCCATACCCAGGCCATGACCTGGTGACCAGGCAGCCAGAAAGAGTTCCAGGAGGCACAGGGCAGGAAGCTGGGGGATTAGGAGGCGCAGAATGGGGAATGCTCTGGGGAGGTGGGTGCTTTGTTGGTACCATTGTTTGTTTATTCCTCCAGTGACCGCAGCAGCAGTATGGCTGCACTCACAGGCTCTGGAGCCAAGCTGCCTGGGTTCACGTTTGGTCTTTGTGCTTTGGAAAATTTCATAACCTTTCTCTACCAGTTTCCCTTATTACCCGTGAGATTGATGTGAGGATTAACCTAGCATGTAGTAAATATCCTATAAATATTATTATCCAACAGCATACTACTTCTTTGCCAGGAACAAAATTCCCCTATGGCTCTTTAAATGTACTCCAGCCTGTCTCCTGGGAAAGATTCCTGAGAGCTCCCCTGGGGACCATATTTTATTTGTCTCACTGTATCCATAGTGCTTTCAGCTAAACGAATTCATTTGCTAAATGAATGAACCAGAAGCAACTTTAGACCTTCAAGAGGCTGCCGTTATAATGCATCTTGACATCTCTCTCTTTTCCACATGCTTTGTCAGAGCTGTTTCCTCACCCAGTATTTCTTCTCCATCAATATTTGGAATGAGCAAATACTGTGAGTGCATACTTCACATGGTATTATGATTATTTGCCAATGCGTCTGTCTCCTCCATGACTGTGAGCTCCTTGAGGGATTATTCCGTGTTGTACCCCAGGTGCCCTGTAGAGATGTGTATTTTGTGAACTATTCTGTGTAGGCTGCAAAGGAAAAGGCCTGGCACTGCCTTTGGGGAGCTCACTCTCCCAGAGTGGACAGAGGAGTGCAGACAGAGCCACAGGGCGAGTGTGAAGCGTCCATCTGCCGAGGTCCTGCCGATGCAGCCCTGAGCTGGTCCCTCGCGTCAGCAGCCTGGCTCCTGGTCTCAGAGGGAACTGTGTGGTTCCCAAGCATTTGCTTTAGGAAGAATCACCTGCCCCTCCCTGGCTCTCTGCTTTAAGAAACTGTCAACCTGGGAATTTGCAAACTGTCTCTTTAATCTTTAAGAGGTAAATGTTTTGGTAAAAAGTCAGTATTAGCAGATACACTCTGGTGAAATTCTTTTCCTGGAAATACAGAATAGGGCTATTCATATCCAGAGTAGAATGACTTTAAATGCCCCCAGGGGGTCAGCAGAAACCAAGGCCCTGAGGGTAGGATCAGTGTGGGGAAGAGGCTTCCCTACGGGGAGCTGCACATCCAGTCTCACTGGAGCTCCCTGCTGTAACGCTGTTGCCTGTGCTGGTTAGGGTGGATGCTGCCTGCCCAGGGCCCTGATTCCCCAGGAAGAAAGAAACAGGCTTCGCTCAGGACGGCCCTGGTCCCATCTGCCTTTACAATTCCTGGAGGCTTTAGGAAGCTGGAAGTCAGGGGCTCAAGTGTACCTGGGTTTCCTGGAGGAGGCAGGTGTGGCAAGACAGCTGACAGACAGCAGAAGGGATGCTGTGTGGAAGTCACCAGCCAGGCGTGGGACCCAGATGACCCTGGCTGTCCCTGGCTGAAGTCCTCATGCTACCACTTGCTAGCTCTGTGACCTTAAGCAGGTTGCTTCACCTCTCTGAGATAGTTTCCTTGTCTGGACAATGAGTAAAACCCTACCTTTCCTCTCTCAGAAATTTGGCATTGGGACCCAGTGACATCAATTGGAAAGGACGCTGTGGGTGAAAGGTAACCTTGCAGGACAGCAACAAGCCTGTCTGGGCAGGAGGAATGGGTTGTGGAGCTCTGTATATCCTAGCTCACTCTTCGCGCCTCAGTTTCCACTTCGCTTTTTATTTATTGCCAGGGTCTTAAATGAGTGTTGGGGGTATTCGATTCTCCCTCTGCCTGTACTTTTGGGGCCAAGCACTGAGCTGAAAAAACAATTCCTCCTAGTTCTCCAAGCCTACAACCTGCCCTCTACTGTGAGCTGTAATACATTCTCCCAATGTCACTGTGAGGTTTGCACCTTCACCCCCGTTTTATAGGCCAGGAAACAGAGGCTCCTCCAAGTAAAGTGGCTTGCCTCAGATTTCACAGCCAGTGAGTGGAAAAGCCTCTGGGATTCAAACATCAGAGCCCATATTTTTCCTGCTTCTCCTCATGCCGATTATCATATGTTGCCTCTTTAGCCTACAGTTCCCTCCCTCCACCTCCACCGTCTTATCCTTCCCACTCTTCAAGGTTTAGTTCAGCTATGACTTCCATGAGGCTCTACTCATTTTCTCAGGTTTCTTCCTCCTCCAAATTTCTTTTAAAAATTATGCTCTTTTCTCTGATTCTGATAGAATGCACACACATTACATTAGAAAAGACACACAAGCATATAGAAGATAAAAAACACCTAATATTCCATCACCCAGGAGCTTCCAGTTTTTCCTTCACGCATTTGCATAGCATTTGTGTATACTTTTCCCCAAAAGTTCTCTGATACTTTGCCCTACTTTTCTTTTGGCCCTCATAACCTCCTGACTTCTGTACCTGTCTGATTTCCCCTACCAGGGTGTGAGCCCCTGGAGGGCAGCCTCTGCGCCCTGATTCAGGTTGCCACACATACGCCAGGTCCTAGAGGGCTGGAGGGAAGGACGTGGGGTTGGGGAACGGGGAGGCTCAGGCTTTCAGCTGTGTGCTTCGTCTGCAGAGTTCAGGCAGAGGAGGAATCGAATGCCCCCCAGCACTCTTGTAAGGACCCCAGCAATGAGTGAGAGAAGTGCCTGCCAGACATACCATTCTTTATTTCTCAGCTTCAAACAGATACAAAGCTTTGGGGAGGCTCATTGGAAGAGGCTGGGGGCTACACTGGAAAGAGAACTTGGCTTCACACCCCAGCTTCCCCTCTTCCTAGCTCTGTCACATTTGTAAACTCTTAGTCTCAGTTTCCTCATCTGTAAAATGGGGATAGGGTTTGTAGGGTTGCAAAGATGAGATGATGAGTTGTTTGCAAACAACTTCTCACAGTGCACAGGGAAGGACAGCTATGAGAGCCAGTCCCTCCCTTCCTTCTCAAAAGATTAATATATATGTTACCAACCTCCATTCATTATATAGCTCTGTCATGTGCTAAGCACCATGGGGGCTGTTCTTCCTGCCTTAAAATCCCACTGGGGATGAAAGAATTACACAGGAGCTGATTAGAGAGGAAGGTAGTCCATTATGAGGGCTAATTGAGCGTGCAGACAATGTTGCAAACTGAGTTAGGGCTGGGAGAGCTTATTGTGTGCTGGGGTCCTCTGAGATTCCACAGATGCATTAAACAACCACCTCCGCTACTCTGGAAGTAGTCACATCAGGAAGACTCCAGAGATAAGCTTATCTGGGATGTGGCCGCAGAGCTGGAATTTGTAAGCTTTGGGTTTTTATGTCTCATGTTACCAGCTTGTCTGTAAATTGTGAATTATGGCAATCTCATGGTGAGGGAATGTGATGTTTGATTGGGTTAAGAGAATGAAATGAGACCACAAAGATGAGAGAACAGGAAAAGAGCGGACTGGGGACTACATATCCATCAGAATCTCCATTCAGTCCTGCCCCTCAGCAGGAGGGGGACTTCATCAGGCTCATTTCCATCCTTGATTTCGTCCATGCTGGTTCTCTGGACAAGGGGCATATATCAGAGCTATGGCATGGAAAATTACAGGGGAGGTAATGTAGCATGAACTTTGGAATCAGAGCTATTTTCCCCACTCCTTGCTAGCTGAGTGACTTTGGGCAAGTTACTTAGCCTTTCTCAGAGCCTCACTTTCTTCATCTGTAAAGTGAGGGCAATCAAAATAAACCTCCTTCATATGGTTATTTTGAACTTTAAAAGAGACAATACCAGCTGGGTGCGGTGGCTCACTGCTGTAATCCCAGTGTTTTGGGAGGCCAGAGCTGGAGGATCGCTTGAGCCCAGGAGTTCAAGACCAGCCTGGGCAACATACGGAGACCCCTGTCTCTACAAAAAAAAATACAAAACTTAGGCATGGTGGCACATGCCTGTAATCCCAGCTATTCAAGGGGCTAAGGCAGAAGGATCGCTTGAGCCCAGGAGGTGGAGGTTGCAGTGAGCTGAGATCACACCACTGTACTCCAGCCTGGGCAATGGGTCTTAAAAAAAAAAAAAAAAAAGAAAGAAAGAAAAGAAAATACTACTATGGTGGTGCTTATAAAAGTTCAATAAATTTTAGTTGTTTTTAGCATTATTAAAGTAAGAGCTGTACGATCTGTATTTTCCAAATGTCCATGTCAGAAGTATACATTTCATCGGCAAGGGGCTGCTTCTGGAAGGTTGGGAGGTGTCCTGGGGAGAGGATACAGCGCTGGCAAAATTGGCACCACAATTCAGGTCACCTCACTCAGTGTTGTTGTTTTTTTTAAGTTACCATAATCCATAGTATGAAAGGCATTTGACATCACAGTCCACTATATTTATGCATTTATAAATGAGAAAAAAAAATCACAAAAAATACAGTACCCCATGCAGTAGACACTGATTTCATCTATTGTTTTTTTTTTTTTTTTTTTCCTCTAATGCACTTGCAGCCTACTGATTTCAGACCCAATGATTGGGTCCCTAACCACGGTTTGGAAAACACTATAAGAAATGATTGTGTCCTTTCACTTTCCCTCTCTGAGATTGCGTTTTCCAGCTATGAAATGCTTTTGATGCTCAGCCAGCTTCACTGCTGCTCTGAGTCAATGCCAGGAATGCTTGACTTAGCACATGTTATTTGGAGGGTGCCCATCCAGGTGTTGTGGGAGGGACAGAGACTGAGAAGAGTGCTTTCAGACCCCACAGAGGCCATTTGGAAACCCTGGGAAGGGGTGGGAGGGTGGGAGGGGTAGGGATTGCCTCTCCCCTAAGACCCAGCATGATGGAAGGTCAATGGGGTGGGGACTAACTGGTGTTGGTCTTTCCCATTTGTGCCCCAGCAGCCTTCCTGACAGCGAGACAGGAGAGGACCCCAGGTACAGCCTTGGGACTGGGTGAGAAGTGGGTCCCAACAAAGGGAAGGGGCAGGGTGGGGGCAGGGGGCTTGTGGATGGGGAATGCTGAGTATAGATTTAGTGGTGTACAGCTTACGTACTTTCAGAGACATAAGACTAAGGCCCGCATTCTCAATGAGCAAAATTTGGTTCTTGAGGGCAGAAAACACTTAGACGTTGCAATGCTTTGTGGCTGTCCAAAGTACCAAACAGATATCAGTGTATCTGTGGTGCTAAAAGTTCATGGTAGATGGAGTCAGAAAATAGATTAGCGGTTGCCAGGGGCTGGTGGGAGAAAGAGGGAAGGGAGAGTGACTGCTATCGTGTATGGGATTTCTTTTAGGGAAGATAAAATGTTTTGGAATTACATAGTGGTGATAGTTGTACAACCTTGTCAACGTACTTTTAGTTTCAGAGGTTTCCTAAACCTCTGAAATGTTTTTATTTTTAAGTGACAGGAAAGGCCGGGCACGATGGCTAACGCCTGTAATCCCACCACTCTGGGAGGCCGAGGCGGGCGGATCACCTGAGGTCGGGAGTTCGAGACCAGCCTGACCAACATGGAGAAACCCCGTCTCTACTAAAAACACAAAAAATAATTAGCCGGGTGTGGTGGCAAATGCCTGTAATCCCAGCTGCTCGGGAGGCTGAGGCAGGAAAATCACTTGAACCCAGGAGGCGGAGGTTGCATTGAGCCAAGATCGTGTCATTACACTGCAACCTGGGTAACAAGAGGGAAACTCCATCTCAAAAAAAAAAAAGTGACAGGAGAGACAGAAAAAATATATCTAAAAAGGCTCTAGGGCTGGTAATGGAAAAGAAAGTTCAGAAACATGACTGCAAGAAAAGGAGATGGGTATCCCTCAGGCCAGACAGAAAATTCAGTCTTGTTGCTTTGTGTTCAATGAGCAAATCTAAAAAGCCAAGTGAAATTGATTAATGAGACTCTGAATCCCTCAAAACCTTCCCTCCCCTCACCTCTCCTAAGAACATTTGAGACACCTTAGGGGTGGTATGAAGTCAAGATGGGGAAGGTTGGCTCAGCTTTGTAAATAAGTTTAAGCCTCCGGCCTTCACTCTGCAACAGCAAAGAGGCTTCACTTTGCTACATTTTCTCTGCCCTTTCTCCCTCCTCGTCCCCAAGTGTCAGTATGTGATGACAGGCTCATCTTCTGTAACGGTAGTGACCGTATTTCTTGAGCCAAAAATCAGACCTCATGGCATGTGACAAGTTCACGTGTGTGGATGAGAACAGAGTGACAGAATATTTGACACGGGAGTAGCTTGGGCAGTCCAGGGCATGTGGCACTGCACCTGACATCTTCCCTGGCAGATCCCCCATATTCCGTGGTTGTCTTCTGATAGGGCCACATGGGGCTGCAGATCATGCCTGGAGCCCTTTGCAGCTCCACGGCTGTGAGTTCCCACCCCCAGAGTGCAGGCGCTGGCGTCATCCTGCCCGGCCTGGCCTGACTCTGTCCAGAGCGCTCCCTGCCCCAGCTGTTTGTGCAGCCATATCAGCCTCGACCTCAGCCTGTTCATTCCAACCCGAATGCAGAGGCTGGGTCTGGAGAAGCCACATATTGGGCTTCATACTCCCTGACCTGGCAAGTTTCCCCCGAGAGCCTGCACCAGAGGTACCTCTCCCCATTCGTACTCTTAACTGGGCCCTTCAGGGCCCTCCCCAACACACCCACGTGGTCAGGAAGCAGAGGCTTCCCCAAGATGGACCTCCCCTACTCTCCACACCTCTCTCTGCAGCATGTGTGGCTGTAGACTGGGTCCCGGGGATTGTAAAGGCATGCTCACGTTCGGTTTGAGGGAGTTCAGAATCTTCCTGGAGGTCATGGTTCACCCCCATGAGAGCTCAATGTGCCTTTCCTCCTCTGCTGCAGCCCAGAGCGGGAGACAGCGACCGACTCGGATATCAGGTACCACGTCCAGTGAACATTGCCCTCCAAGGTCAGCTCCCTCCAAGGCGCTTTCAGGCCTGAGGGAGCCACGTCACCCTGGAGGGCAGCCCCCAGGGCCCAGTCCCAGTGTAGGGGGAGGCCAGGAGGGTTCCGGGCTCCACCAGGTAGATTAGGAGCTGCCCCTGCTTCTATGCATCCACTTACTCCCTTCACGCAAGATCATTTTATCTGAAAGTCTCTTTTTTTTTTTCTTTTCATCTTCTTAAAAACCACATTACAGCCAGGCACGGTGGCTCATGCCTGTAATCCCAGCACTTTGGGAGGTCGAGGTGGGCGGATCACCTGAGGTCAAGAGTTCAAGACCAACCTGGCAAACATGGCAAAACCCCATTTCTACTAAAAATGCAAAATTTAGCCAGGCATGGTAGTGCGTGCCTTGTAATCCCTGCTACTCAGCAGGCTGAGGCAAGAGAATCACTTGAACCCAGTAGGGGGAGGTTGCAGTGAGCCTCTCATGCCACTGTACTCCAGCCTAGGTGACAGAGCAAGACTCCGTCTCAAAAAAAAAGGAAAAAAAAAAATCACACAAAAGGTGGCTTCCTTGCCTCTGCTGAAAAAAAAAAAAAAAGTTATTTCATTTGGAGAATTACCTGCTGACTTCAAAGTCCAGTGGTTTGAGGGCTACCCAAAGAGGGAGGAAGAAAAGAGTTGAGTGTTCTCTTGGTTTGGTCACACTTTGGGGCACCTCCCTGACTAAGGAACAACAGACTGCAGGACTGGGGCAGGCTGGGTGTAGGGCCGGGAGGGAATGAGGTTCTGCTGCCCCAGTCAGCTGAGACCGGACCTCTCAAACCTGCCTGGGGGAAGGCGAGGCCACACTAAACAACTGCACCTCCCTGTTGGCACTGCCCCCACCCCCTTGCCCCAGTCAGAGCCATCAGCTTGACAACTGCCTCTGAGAAGAAGCCCCTGAGAATGCCTCCTGCACCCCCTACTCCCTCCCTGCCTTTTCCAGGAAGAGAGGCCCGGTGGCCTATGCCTCTCAGAAACCATGGCTGCTGAATGCCACTGTGGAGGAGAACATCATCTTTGAGGGTCCCTTCAACAAACAACGGTAAAAACCTGTCGGAGGGAGGTGGGATGGGGGAGGGGAGAAACTGTCTCTGGCCAGCCTACCCAAGTTCCGGGGCCCCCTCCATAGATCACCCACGCACAGGCACTTCTCTGCACTCCAGCCTCTCCATATGGTGCACCTGGAGAGGGGCCAGGTGTGCCTGAGCTTTGGGCGGTCCAGCTCCCAGAGGGGAGAGGGCAGGAGCGGAGGAAAGGGAGAGAGTCCTGCTGCCTTTTCTCTAGCTGGTGCGAGGGCTGGCCAGCTCTCTGCGAGTCTCCATTCGTGTGGCCCCTGCACTGTTTTCCCTGCAATGATAATAGTTAGGGCTAGCATTGATTGAGCTCTTACCACATACCAGGCACAGTGCCGAGCTCTTTGTACATGGAATTCCCTCTCATGCTTACAACAACCTCAGCAGGTAGGTGCTATTATTATTCCCACTCTGCAGTTGAAGAACCAAGTCTCAGAAAGGTTAAATAACTTGCCAGAGGCCATCCAGCCAGTAAGCGACCAAGATGGGTCTCACATCCAAAGCTGCCTAACACCTAAGTATATGCTTGTCACCAGGATACTCTGATGCCTCCATGAACTCTGGCTGGCACCTGCCCAGGCTAAGGGCTGGCCGGGGAAGTATGAGAGGAACAGGCTGGGTAAATATTTGCCCAGCCATCATCATTACCGCCTAAACCAACCAGCAGTGATTTTCCCTACCAGTGCCCCACGCATGGGCTCCAGCCACAGCTTTTCCCACTGCACACTGATCGCGAGCGCCCTTTCATCACTGACTCTGCATATTTGCTCCCATCCGACTCCATCCTTCAAGTATTTAACCTGCCCCAACGCTGTGTGAAGTGCTGACCTCAGCTCTTTGCAAGCTCACATGGTGTTTGCTTGCACCCAAGCGGGAGGCCCATTAAAGCCATTGCTCACCCTGGGCACAGCTCCCCAGAGACTAATGACCCTCTGTAAATGACCAGGCTGACCAGCTGCATTCCCTGCCTCTACCCATGCCAGGTACAAGATGGTCATTGAAGCCTGCTCTCTGCAGCCAGACATCGACATCCTGCCCCATGGAGACCAGACCCAGATTGGGGAACGGGTTAGTAGCAGCCTCTGAGGGGTTTTCTCAAAGCCAGGACCCCCAACCTACCATGCCCTGAGACCCTACTCGGGGAGAGTGGGTAACTAGGAAATAGCAGATGGTGAAGGCTGAAGAGTTGCCTACAGTAAGGTCAAACGTGATGTCCTTAATGAAGTCCTTTGACAGGTTTTCAGTCCTGCTCGGTGGGCAAGGTCAGCTTAGCGCCCTCCCAGGCTGGGGATCTTCTCCATTTGTGCCCGAGGTATATACTGAGAGCCTACACAACACTGTGCTCAGCCCGGGTTAAATTGTTCCTGTTCGTCCTCTGATGGGGTCCCCTCCACAAGCTTGGACAAATAGGATCCTCTTATGACTGTCCTCCTTGAGTGTGATTTAAATCCCTACTGCCTCTGTCTTGGTTTGTACTGGTCAGATGGTCCCTAGCACCTGCACAGTGAATCTTTAAAGACTTGGGGATCATGCTGCCCTCTTCCGAATTCGGTAAACATGTGCAAGTTCCTTCTCTCTGCAAGGCGAGAAGTGGGTAAGCAAGTGGACAGAGCCGGGCCTCTGTCCCAAAGAGCTCACAGTCCAGTAAGGGCCAGAACAGTGTCCCCTGAATGGCTGAGGGCATGATCTGTTCCTCCTCTTTGGTGACAGGGCATCAACCTGTCTGGTGGTCAGCGCCAGCGAATCAGTGTGGCCCGAGCCCTCTACCAGCACGCCAACGTCGTCTTCTTGGTGAGTGCCCCAGCTGGCAGTTCCCTTGGGGGTCCTGGTCTCTGGCTGCTGCCCAGGATTAACTGCCCACCCATACCTCCCCCACCACCCCCACCACCCCCACCTCCCCCACCACCCCCACCTCCCCCACCACCCCCACCATCATCCAACAATCTTCCTCTCCAGGAGTAAACCTCTCCTGCCAAAGATATTGCCTAATCATCCTAGTGACAGGGAAACTGAGGCAGGCAAGGATAGCACAAGTGACCCATTGTAGACTTCAGACTGATCTCTGCAGTAGCCAATGAGGAGAGGCAAGTTGTAGTTAACCGGCTGCTTCTCTGGGACAGCCCAACTATAAGAATGGCTGATACACGGGATGTGTGCTGCCACTTCCCATCTTATGCCCAGGACAGACATTGCTAATTGTTCACAGAATTATTTTCCTTGGAACTTAACTTGGACTCAGAATCCTTCTCAACACAACACTTCAGGTAACCACTGGCCATCCAACATGAGACAACACTTTTTCTCGATCCTTGCGCTACTTCGTGTCAAGCTGTTGTGTCAGGTGTCTTGACTGACACTGAAGAATTCTAAGGCCCAGTCTTTGGCCTCAAAGATTTAGAATCTGATTAGGCAGACAGAGCTCACCCAGGGAGGGCCTGGAGGAGAGCCTCCAAGGGAGAGTCAATTAAACAGAAGGAAAGAGGGAGGCCATTTGCACAGGGGGTTGGAAGAAGAAAGCTCAAATCTCTCATTCCAGCTTTATGCTCTCCCCTCTCCCCACAACACATACATGAGTACGCCTTTACTTAGGACACTTCACAATGGGAAGATTCGTAGTCTCTGTTACCATCTGACACGTGCATAGCATTCTACAAAGCATTGGCATATTCACAATCTTTCATGAGATTTAAACAACTCTGTTAGAGAAAAGTGAGGTAAACGTTTATCCTAGCAAACGTTTAATGAAGCATCTACTCTGTGCCAGGCATGGGCACAAGAAGTCTCAGTTCTTGGGAGTGCCATAGTCAGGAATGGACAAACAACCATTAGATCTGGCTTTGCGCCGGTGTCATGGGAATAGAGAGGAAGGAAGGGTAGGTGTGGGGGTCAGGATGGGAAGCAGGAGGAACTGTTGCTTAGGTGAGTGAAGGATGGATAGGAGTTCACCAGGCAGACAAAAGGCAGAACAGCGCTCCAGGCAGAGGAACAGCTCGGGAGAGAGCCTAGACCACAGTCCTCCTAGGAACCTGGAATGCAGAGTGCTGAGAAAGCACAGCTGCGATGTGAGTCTCGAGGGGAAAGTGAGAGTTATAAAGCACCTGGAACACCAGCCCAGGGGGTTTGACTTTAGAGATGATTAGGAGCCGCTGACGGTCCAGAAGTCAGTCAGTGAAGTGATTGGATCCGTTTGAGAGTGATATCTGACAACTGCCCCATTTTAAGATGAGGTAACCAAGGCCCAGAGAGTTTGGGTGAGTTGTCCAAAGCCACACACTAGCTTCAGTCCCTAGACGAGAGTTGAAAGAACTGTAATGGGTTTTATACTCATTGTCACCCCTCCCTGCCATACCTGTCCCTACCTTCTCTTCTCCCCTCTGCCCAGGATGACCCCTTCTCAGCTCTGGATATCCATCTGAGTGACCACTTGATGCAGGCTGGCATCCTTGAGCTGCTCCGGGATGACAAGAGGACAGTGGTCTTAGTGACCCACAAGCTACAGTACCTGCCCCATGCAGACTGGGTGAGGGGAACAAGGGGTTCAGGCTATAGGGGGCAGGTCTGGGGAGGCTGTCAGGCATCTTGGCAGTAACCAATCAGTTGTCTTGGTAGTGATTGCTGAGGGCCACAAAGCATAAGAGATCAGCACTAGATGGCTTCATGCATGCTGGGCATCTCAGGGAGACCCTATACAGGCCAGGGACTTGGTATCACCTAGACCCACAGACATTCCCCATCCTGGCCGGGGGCGCCCATGGTACACTCAAGGTTGGCACCAAGAAGTCTCAGGAATAATCAGGTGCTCCCTTCTCACCTTCTGATCCCTGCCCTTTTGATGATCCGTCCCCCGGCCATAGGGAGTGCCCATTTGGATGGAGAAGCCGTCTTCCCACTCTATGACCTTCCCAGGGTAGATGAATGCAGGTTGGGATCATACGGGAAATATGGAACAAAACAATAGCGGTAGTAATTGAAACTTCAGGCTGGGCACAGTGGCTCACGCCTGTAATTTGGGTGGCCAAGGCAAGAGGATCACTTGAGCCCAGGGTTTAAGGCTGCAGTGAGCTATGATCACGCCATCGCACTCCACTCCAGCCCAGGCGGCAGGGCAAGACCCTGTCTCAGAAAATTTGAAAAAGAAAAGAAAAGAAAAGAAAAGAAAAGAAATTTCATTATTATCAATAGAATGCAATGTTGTGAAACCCCTCATTAACTAAATTCCCATACTCTTCAGTAGGTAGAAAATAATTACTTTTTGATTTATTAGAAAGCACTTAATTTTTAAGATGGAGATCATGTGACTTTTGAACCCTAGGTCATGCCTACTCTTACATAAATTTTCCTCTGAACAACAGCCAAAACTGAGGCCCTCTCTGAGCTTCAGGCCCATGCCAAATGGCTCTGCTCATCTCCCCCAAAATAAATCTTCCTTCCATGTATGATGAGAACCTCCTCCAGTATAAAAAAGACCCGAAAAAGATCTAGATTTAAATATATGTGTATATATAAACAGATACGGAAGGTTTGTTTCTGAGTTTCTGTAGTGAACCTGGCAATGCCTTATAGCTCAGGACAGTCCTGAGGAACACAGAAGTGCTGGGTTCTCTGAGGTGTGAGTGACCATGACTCTTGGGCCCCTCAAACCTCAGCATAGGGAGGGAGGGGGTGAGGGCAGCAGGGGCGGGTGTCTGAATTAATGGCAGGTCTACGTGATGGTGTCATCGAGTGTTCCAAATAAAAAGTTTTATTGAGCCGGGCATGGTAGCTCATGCCTGTAATTCCAGCACCTTGGGAGGCCAAGGCAGGCAGATCTCTTAGGCCCAGGAGTTTGAGACCAGCTTAGGGAAGCATGCTGAAACCCTGTCTCTACAAAAAAAAAAAAAAAAAAAAAAAAAATTTAGCCAAGTGTGGTGGTGTGCACCTGTGGTCCCAGCTACTCAGGAGGCTGAGGCAGGAGGATGGCTTGAGCCAGTAAGCAGAGGCTGCAGTGAGCTGAGATGGTGCCATTGCACTCCAGCCTGGGCAACAGAGTGAGACTCCGTCTAAAAACAAAGATTTATTGATCCCAAAGAGGCCTGGACACACACACTTAGACCAACAGGTGCTTTACTAAGCCCTGATGGAGCTTACCAGACCCGCCATTAAGAGGAGCTAAGGGTAGTGTAAATGAGCCCACTTCGTGTATGACAGCCACTGCCACAGATGGAGTCCTTATCCAGCCAGCTTGGGCAGGATGCACTAATTTGCTCTGCAAACCCAGCCACAGAATTACCCCTTAGATGCACTGAACTCTTAAGTCCTAGGAGTATATTGGTGGGAGTAGGTTATCAATACCAGCCCACTTGCAGTGGATGAGCTGAAGGCCATTTGTAGTGAGGAGAGGGATGTATCCACCTCCATCTCAGACTCCACAATCGAAGGATGTGACCACCATTCCTCCCTAGCCAGCCCCAAATTAGGTTTGTTTATGCCTTTCCAGATCATTGCCATGAAGGATGGCACCATCCAGAGGGAGGGTACCCTCAAGGACTTCCAGAGATCTGAGTGCCAGCTCTTTGAGCACTGGAAGACCCTCATGAATCGTCAGGACCAAGAGCTGGAGAAGGTGGGTCTATCCAGGGGTGGCCAGGCAGACGCCCCTTCATGCGAAGGTTCTGCTGGAACCTGAACTCATAAAGGCCTTCCTGTCCTCACTGCCCCAGGAAGCCCTCTAAGGGACAGATGTGGGAGCTGGGCATGAACTTGCTCCTACCAGAGGAGAGCCAGTAGCTGTGCCAGGTGCCCAGGGCAGAATCAGGTGGGCACCTTCCCCTTATCCCGAGATAGTCAGATACTATTTAGTCGCAAAGTTTCAGAAAATCCACTCAAACTGGCTAAGCAAAGAAAACAAGAGGGAGTTAAGGATTTATCGACCCATGAAACCAAAAAGGCCAAGTGTGTCTCAGCTTTAAGTGTGCTGGGTCCAGGTAGTCAGTGTCATCAGAAATCTGTTTCTCCCATTTCTTGGCTCCCCTCCCCTCACATTGGCTCCATTGGCCTCATCCATGAGGCCGCCAGCGCTCTCAGGTTTACCTTCTCCCAGCTCAACAACTCTGCCAGAAAAAAGTGCCTCTTTCACAACAGTTCAGCAGAAGTTCCAGGGCTGAGTTTCATGGGTCCACTTTGGTCATGTGCCCACCCCTGAACTGTGGCCAGGAATGTGGAGTGTGAGGATTGGCCTGTCCTGGGTCATGTACCCACTTTTGGAGTCAGACCCCCCTGAATCACAGAGACTAAAAATAGGGGAAGAGTGTTTCCCCACAGGGATATGGGGGTGCTATTATCTGATGAAGGGGAAGGACTAAATCCTGGGAAGATGAAAGTGTGTCTGGCCCTCAGTTAGGGACAACCTAGAAACCTAACATTGGTCATCACCAGGGTAGTTACCCCTTAACTTCCCCCTCCCCTCACCAACCATGTACCCTGAAGACATTGGCCAGGCCACATCTGTCTTATAGGAGACTGTCACAGAGAGAAAAGCCACAGAGCCACCCCAGGGCCTACCTCGTGCCATGTCCTCGAGGGATGGCCTTCTGCAGGATGAAGAAGAGGAGGAAGGTACAGGTGATGGGACTGGGAGTGAAATGATGGCCTGAGGTCTGATCAGCCACAGAGACGCTAAGGTTTGGGTTTCTGGGTGTGGTGCAGTAGTGTGCCTTTGATTAAATGCCTTCCCTCTGTGTGCCTCAGTTGTCCCCTGAGTGGGGATAAAATGCTCCCTGGTTCACCCTCAGAGGGATGGAAATGTGTAGCCACAGGGTGGGTTCTTGCGGCCTGCAGAGGAGGCAGCTGAGAGTGAGGAGGATGACAACCTGTCGTCCATGCTGCACCAGCGGGCGGAGATCCCGTGGCGAGCCTGCGCCAAGTACCTGTCCTCCGCCGGCATCCTGCTCCTGTCGCTGCTGGTCTTCTCACAGCTGCTCAAGCACATGGTCCTGGTGGGCATCGACTACTGGCTGGCCAAGTGGACCGACAGCGCCCTGACCCTGACCCCTGTGGCCAGGAACTGCTCCCTCAGCCAGGTGTGACCGGCAGCCCCGTGGCAGAGGCTGGGGTTGGGGGTGGGGGAAGAGCTGAGCCCATGGGCACCCTGGAACCCCAACTCACTCTCTGCCTGTGAAGGAGTGTGCTCTCGACCAGACTGTCTACGCCATGGTGTTCACGGTGCTCTGTAGCCTGGGCATCGTGCTGTGCCTCGTCACGTCTGTCACCGTGGAGTGGACAGGGCTGAAGGTGGCCAAGAGGCTGCACCGCAGCCTGCTGAACCGGATCATCCTGGCCCCCATGAGGTACCTCTCTCCCCTGGCCAGGCTGGGACTGTGAGCAAGTCACTGTTCTCTGAGCCTCAGTCTTCCTATCTATAAAATGGGGATATACAACCTCTGTCACAGGCTTGTGGGGGTGACTCCAGGAGACTCCTGGAGTGTGCCCTCCTTGTGCAAGAAGCAGGGAGAAACTGGCATTTACACAGCCAGACACCATGCTAGGCATTGTATGTGGTTAGCTCATCTAATTGTCACCATGGTCCTTCAAAGTGAGAGCACCTGCAAGTCTGGGTAAAGATTGATTTCTCCTCCCTAGGCAGGTGCCCTTTGCCCATCCCCCTCCAGGAGTTCAGCTCCCTGCCCTCCCCTTCGTCTCTCTCCCTCAGCCAGCCTCAGGGTTTGACACTGAGGGAACAGGTAGCTGTTCTATTAATAATTTCCTGTAATGGGATGGATAAAAATCTCAAAGGCCTTTGATGTCAAAGAGGTTTAAAGTTGTCACTGCCCAACTGGTTGGCCAACTTGGTTTAAAAACACAACAGGCAAACGGGTTATCTGGACCCTCGCGGATGCTAGACCTCGCCATCTAACCGCACTTTTGCTCTCCAGCCTCATGAGCTTTCTGTGGCCCATAGATATGGCCTCCAAGCTTAAAAACCCTCTATTTGCTGCCCCTGCTCTGTAGTTCTGAAATTCCCTGGTTGGGGCTGGGCTGACTCTGGGTCAGCCAGCCGACAGGCTGTCCCCAGGGCCCTGTTCCCCTTGGCAGGTTGTCCCTTTGGAGAGGACTCTGTGTCCCAGGAGGACAGCTGCTGAGTCAGGCCGAGCCCGCAGTTGAGAAGGGCAGCAGTGGTCAGACGGGCTTGAGAGTCTGAGAGGCTAACGAGAGGCCAGCGACCCTTTGGGCAGTTGCAGGAATTCTTGGGGACACAGGCCAGATGTCTACAGATTGGCAGAGGATGCCCAACCCATGAATGACTCTAGAGACACTTACGAGAAATAAGTAACTACTTAATTCAGTAAACAGGAAATAAATCAATGGACGAATGAGTAACTCTTCCTCTGGCTGCCTCTTAGGTTTTTTGAGACCACGCCCCTTGGGAGCATCCTGAACAGATTTTCATCCGACTGTAACACCATCGACCAGGTACAGAGGACTGTGCCACATTTTCCCCAGTCCAGAGACACCTTGGGCTCCTTGGGGCTTCTCCTGTCTGAGGCTGGGTTCCCCAAATCAGGTGATCACGGCCCTCTGGGAGGAAGCAGTGTTTCCGATCAGATTATAATGCTGCCTCAGGGCTGGGGCCTCACCGTAGGAGTCTTATAATAAGGCTTAGGGAAACCAGATCACTTTAGATTCCACCCAAGATCCCACTGGCTCTCTCTAGTAAAGTTCTAGCACATTCTGAACCAATGTAGTTAATTGCATGGAGAATATTCATTTTGATTTGGCCTGTGTTGTTTACCACCGTACTAGATGGTAAGAAAACAAAGTCTTGATTCCTGTCTCGGAGTTTACCTTGTAGCTGGAGAGAGAAGATGTGTGCCTATAATAAAGTGAGAGCGAGGCCAGACTCAGTGGCTCACTCCTATAACCCCAGCACTTTGGGAGGCCGAGGCAGGCAGATCACTTGAGGCCAGTTGTTCAAGACCAGCCTGGCCAACATGATGAAACTCCTTCTCTACTAAAAATACAAAAATCATCTGTACTGCCCTAGCAGAGGAAAAGAAAAAAAAAATACAAAAATCAGCCAGGTGTGGTGTCAGGTGCCTGTAATCCCAGCTACTTGGGAAGCCGAGGCAGGAGAATCATTTGAACCCAGGAGGCAGAGGCTGCAGTGAGCCAAGATTATGCTGCTGCACTCTAGTCTGGGGGACAGTGAGACTCTGCCTCAAAAAAATAAAGGGTCAAAAAATAAAGCAAAAGCAAAACATGGCTGCGGGTTGCACTCTTAACAGTCAATACCAAGCTCACCTCACTCTCTCCTCCTCACCTCCCTCAGCACATCCCATCCACGCTGGAGTGCCTGAGCCGCTCCACCCTGCTCTGTGTCTCCGCCCTGGCCGTCATCTCCTATGTCACACCTGTGTTCCTTGTGGCCCTCTTGCCCCTGGCTATTGTGTGCTACTTTATCCAGAAGTACTTCCGGGTGGCGTCCAGGTGATGGCCTCAGGGGTGATGGGTGGGAGGTGCTTTGCAATGTGCAGTTTGGTATACTTACTAGACACATCATTATAAAAGTAGCAGGGTCGTGTTCCCTCCAAAAGATCAAAACAAAAAACAGAAATGAAGGAAATAGAAATATCCACATTTCATTCCACCACCCTAATATAATAGTCTGCACACATCCACACACAGACACACACACACTGAGATTGACATCTGAATTATTTCCTTGGGAGATATGGTCAGGATTGGAATTGTTAGGTCATGATAAATGTACATTTTATGCCCTTCATTCATTTTGCCAACATGCTTCCCAGGAGGGTTGCGTGATTCCAGTGGTCAGGCTAATTGCCAATGCATGAAATCAGAAGGCACCTGATTCAAGCGGTGTTAACGATATAACACCTCCCAGACTATGTGAGTCCAGAGCATAGCTGTAAGCCTTGACTTGAGGGAGCCTGTCACAGCCATTCTCATGACCACATTTGCCCTCACGAGCTTTAGAGCCATGCACACCTCTTTCCTCCTCAGAATTTCCAGAATGTTCTCTAGGAAGCTCTTTCTGAGAGTGATTCTGCTAAACTCATAGATTCAAAGAATCATAGGAAAAAATTTAAAAACCTCTAGGCCAGTGTTTCTCAAACTGCCAATTATAGCCCATCGGTGGGTCGTGAAATTAATATCATGGATCACAACCAGCATTTTTTAAAAATGAAATAGTACAGAAAATATCAGACTGCATTCATAGAGTAACAGCAAGCTTTGCTTCATGAAACCTTTGTTTTGGTCGTGTAGGTGTGTGAGTACTGATTTGTGAGATAAAATATGTTCCTGACTGTGGGTTGTGGTCAGAAAGATGAAGTACCTTTCCCAAGTGCACATAGTTGGCTAGAAACTGGAGTCGAGATACTTACTAGCAATAATAAATAATAAAATTTAGATACATTTTGGCCACAATTACCTGCTCCAAAGGATCAACATTTGTATAAATGGCTTTTTTGCTTGGATGATCCAGAATGGCCCGGCACCCACACAAGCAACATAGCTTGTTGACACTCACAAAATTACAGTGGCTTTCAAAGCACTGTACAAGCTGTTCTACAAAGTTCCTTTCTTCTGCCAGAGAAACAGCCCTGTCTCTCTGGCACCCACTCTGGCCCTGGAGATGGTTTGCCAGGGAAATCAACTTCCTGCATCCCAAACCGGCCTCCCTGGCACTGATGTGCTTGTCAAAGTGCAGCTTTGGGGAGCAGGAGGCAATTCTGTTGCCATGGAAACCTCTGGCCTTACCCTAAGATGAAACCTGTCATTTCAACACATCACTGGCCAGGGTCTGAAGCGCTCCTTGTAAGCAGACAATGGGTTGAATGCTTAGAGTTTGCTCATCTGTTCCTTTGGCCAGCTGTCGCAAAGTTCAGGTTGTTCACCTATAAAACAGAACTAACACTGCCTGCCCAGCCTTAGCTCAGTTCAAGGCTAGGCAGCAGAAGTACAGGGACAGATGGCGACCTGGGGTGGGCAATGCCCAGGACAGCAGTAACTGCCCCACAGTTGGGCTGTGTCTAAGCATTATACATAAATGATCTCATTCAGTGCTCACAGCAGCTCGATGGGTTAGTGCCGTTGTCTTCCCCCTTCACAGGTGAGAAGCTGAGGCCTGGAGAGGTGAGGCCATTCACCCACACAGCGGTGGCAGGTAGAGCTAGGCTTCAGGCCCAGGCCAAGCCCTGAGCCTGCCCTCTTAACTATTCCACTCTGTCCTCACCACAGGGACCTGCAGCAGCTGGATGACACCACCCAACTTCCATTGCTCTCACACTTTGCCGAAACCGTGGAAGGGCTCACCACCATCCGGGCCTTCAGGTACGAGTCCACATTCCCTCAAGGTAGGAGTGGAACAGGTGGGGCCAGGGGCACTGGCCATGAGATTCAATTCTCAGGGCTCCACTTAGGAAGGCCAAGGACACATCTCTCTCAAGTCACCTTAGGCCCCAAGGCCCAGGGGATGTCCACCAGCAGGCACAGGCCAGGTGGGCTCCCACTGTATGTTCTAGAGAGAATTCCAGCTCTGCAGACAAGCCCAGGGCCTGTGTGAACTAAGGCAGAACATGAAAACAAACAAGGCTGGGACAAGTCTTCATGTACCAATGCTAGAAAGGGCCTTAGATGGTGTGGGTCACCCTGAGCCCTTCTTTTATTAAGGAGCTCCTGTGCCAAACACGATGCTGAGTACTGTACAGTCCAATCCCGCTCATTCTGCACGGCAACCGTTGGTGCTGAGAATGATCATTTCCATTGCACAGATAAGGAAACTGAGGCACAGAGGCGTTCTATGCCCTCTCTGTGTAAGGTGCCACAAAGCCCAGACTTCAACCTGTTTGTTCATGCAACAAACATTCACTGAGCCCCAACCATGTGCTAAGCCCCATGCCAGGCACTAAAAAGATGAGTCAGATGAGCCACTGCCCTGCAGGCATTTACAGCCCAGACTTTGAGCAGGCCAGGATAAACCCATGTGACAAGTACTCTGAAAAAAACGGATTCAAGGGAAGTGGGAGCAGAGAAGAGAGGCCGTCAGGGAAGGTTTTTGTAGAGGGGGTGTCAGCAGAACTAGGACTCGAAGGACGGGTAGGAGTTCACCAGGCTGGAGGAATTCCTTAAAACTTCAGTGCCCCTGCCATGCTTTCCCCACCCTGAGTGGTGATGCGGGGGTGGACAGGAGCATCTGAAGCTGCCTGGGGAGTGGAGGGAGCTGTTGTTCCCCACTCCCCAAGAGTCCGTCTGATCTCCTGGGGCATCTCTCTTTAGTCAGGCAGGCCAGAGACCCCTGACACAGATAGTTAGGCTCTTTTCTCATCATCACCCACAGAGTGATAATGGGTTATTTTTAGGATGGCACAGCTGCACAAAGTGTGACAGTAACCATGAGACACCAAGCCCTGTGTCCAGGAGTAACTCTAGGGCACAAGGACCAGCCAAGGGCCTACAGAGACTTACATCTCCTCTCCCAACCCCTGAAATCCAGCTTCGGCCCTGGAGACACACCCAGGCCCCACTGCCCACTCCCTGGAGCACCTAGAGCCAGTGAAAATCCACCTCTTAGGGATCTTGTCTAAGTAAAGCAGAGCAGAACAAAGCTCTGCCCTGACCTTGGCGCTGCTCCCTGGACGTCCCTTGCCCCTGGACAAGCCTGTGCTGTGTCTTCCACAAAGAAGCTCCCTGGATTACAACGCTAGAGTTTCCTCCCAGCCTCCTTCTCTTCTCAAGCCTGAACTTCCCCTGTTCCTTCAATTTCCAGGTCCTGGACATTGCTGAGCCTAGCCTTTGCTCTAAGTTTTGGTGATTTCCCTCTCTAAATTGGTGTCTCAGAGGGCCCTGGAGTAGAAAGATGGTGACTCTCCTAGAGTGGGCCAGAGCCCCTGGTGTGCGGATCCCAGCCTCCTGTAACCAGCCTCAGATCAGGTCAAACCTGTGGTCCGCCAGAGCCACCGCTACCCAGTGAGGTCTTCCACACCCTACTGACAACGGTGAATGATTTTTAAATGCGAATGAAAGGCTTTTTAATCAACCCTGTACACGTTTAATGCATTGGCTTTACCCCAGCAGCCTGTTGAGAGCTATTAGAATGTATTGATTGCCCACTTGCTGCGTGCCAGGCACCGTGCTAAGTGTTGGATGTGCGTTATTACATTTTCATCCTCACAAGAGCCGCATAACATAGGTACAAGTCACCACATTCTCCAGGTGCAGAAACAAGACACAGAGAGGCTGGGTCATCAACCCAAGGTCACACGGACTGTGGGGCTGGCGCTGAGCTTGGACCCCAGGCTGGCCTGACCTTCTGGGCTTTCCTGAGAGACCTCCTTTTTTCCCAAAAGAGTCTCAAGAGCATGTAGCACTGGGCTCAGTGGTGGCCTCAGAGGTTGTTTTCATTCATGTGGGAACTATCACCATCCCCATTTCACTCATGAGAAAACTGAGTCTCAATCCTGATGTACATCCAGGAAGCTGTGATGTTCAGGCTCCAGCCTTGGTTTGCATGACTCTGAGGCTGGGGCTCTTCTCCAGTCTTCAGACACACTGTCACCCGCCTGTGGCAGAAGCTCCTGTCTCACACTTGCCCCACACCCCCCAACTCACACAGCCCTGAGCACCTCACACTCCTGTCACACGCACGCGCCCTGACGCACACACATCTTCAATGCGCACTTACTCAAACCCTTCAGACATGGTTTCACACTCGCCTCAGACACATCACCCTCCCACACATCTACACCTGTGGGTGTGCAGTAGCAGGCTCTCTCCCACATCAGAGCCCCCCTTCACTCCCTTCAGACACATGCCCTCTCTCCACCCAGAGACAATCAAGGCTGAACAAACACCTTCCATGAGTGAAAAGCAAGTGTCGAACAGGGTGCGTCTTGGGTGCCTCCGTGGCCCCTGAGCTTGGTCCTATAGAACCAATGATGATGAGACGGTTTTGCTTTCATTCCTTCCTCCACCATCATACAAGCTCTCCTCCATCTCCTCTGGGCTGGGCCTAAGTCAGCAAGGTCTGAGGGAGGTGGCCAAGGAGAGTGATGACGGCAGCCTAGGCTGCTCAGAGAGAAGAGGCAGGCCCATGCACAGTAACTCAGGGAGAACATGATGAGGACCCAAGGATGAAAAAGAAGCCTCCAGAGTTCCTGTACAGAGAGATTCCATCCATTTCAGAGGGTTGGGGGAGGTGCTGCGTATTCATCCGACAAATACGTATTAATAGTGCCAGGTGCAGGGACACATTGGTGAATACAACAGACATGGCCTCCATCTTCACGGAATTTGCAGTCTGTTGAGGGAGATGATTATAAATGGCCAGAGAAATGCATGTATAAGCAGAGACTGTGGAGCAAACAGGTTGCAGAGAATAATAGGGGAAACCTACTTTAAAGTAAGGTAGTGGCCAAGAAGGGTCTCTCTGAGGAGGCAGCATTTAAGGTAAGGCCTGAAGGTTGAGTTGAGCAAACGTTATGAAGAGCAAGGATGAAAGCCTTCCAGGCAAAGGAAACAGTGTGTGCAAAGGCCCTGGGGTATGGAAGGCTTTAGTATTGTCACAGAGTTTTTAAAAGGCTGAATGGCTGCAGCATAGCGTGTGGGGGTGTTGGTGGCTGGAATCAGGTTGGCAGGAGGGGGCTCTTCATCCTACCAGCAGCAGGAGAACCTTAGTATTCTTTTTTTTTTTTTCTTTTTGGCAGAGTCTCACTCTGTCACCCAGGCTGGAGTGTGGAATGGTGCAATCTCAGCTCACTGCAACCTCCACCTCCTGGCTTTGATTCTCCACCTCAGCCTCTGGAGTAGCTGGGATGCACACCACTGCATCCAGTTAATTTTTGTATTATTAAGAGACAGCGTTTTACTGTGTTGGCCAGACTGGTCTTGAACTCCTGACCTCAGGTGATCCACCTGCCTCAGCCTCCCAAAGTGCTGGGATTACAGGGGTGAACCACGGCGCCCAGCTGGAGGTCATTAATATTCTAAGCAGGGGAGAGAGAGGACACAGTCTTCGATTTAGATAGATTAAGCCAGCCACTGTGTGGAGCGTGGACTCTAAGGAGACAGCAGATAGATGTGTTCAGGAAGCTGATGCAGTGGCCCAGGTGAGAGCTTGTGGTGGGCGGGAAGCAGGATAGACAGGGAGGGAGTCAAGGACTCGTTTGGAGATGGACATAAGAGGACTTGCCAAGGGGCTGAATGTGAATCCAGGTGACTACTGAGTGAGAAACTGGGTAAAGGGAGCTGCCCTTTATTACAATGGGAGAGACCTAGAGAGAATGGGTCTTGGGGTGAAAACAAGAGTTTGGAGGAGGTGGGACTCTGGACAGGTTTGCATAAGCAGAAAGAGCAGGGCAGACATTACAGAGAGGGATAGCGTACATGAGGTGGCCGCGGTGGCGGGTCTGGGGACTGGAGAGGCCCAGGTGGCTCCCTCTGCATGTAGGGAGACTCCTAGGAGCTATATGGACCCACACTGTTCCCTCAGGACCTCCTCATCCGCCCTCTAGGTATGAGGCCCGGTTTCAGCAGAAGCTTCTGGAATACACAGACTCCAACAACATTGCTTCCCTCTTCCTCACGGCTGCCAACAGATGGCTGGAAGTCCGAATGGCAAGTGTTATCTACCTCTACCCTGGCCCCTGCAGAGGGGCTTCTGATAGAGCACACAAGGACCTGGGGGTGAAAGAGGAGACAGGATACCAGATGGCATGGACACCAAGCCTCCCTGTTTTCCCCAGCCCTGGTGGTCCTCTAGGGTCTAGCCTGCACTTCTTTTTCCCATGTCACTGCCTAGAGGCTTGTGTATCTGAGGTGTGTGCCAGTGGCTAGAATAGTTGTGGTGAATGTGTATCTTCAGTGGGTCACATGACATGCACGTTGTGTGTGCTGAGGCATGCGTGTTAAAGGGTGTGCAGGTTCGGGGGGATAGGGGAGCATGAGCTTGTGGGACATGTTGGCTCCTGGGACCCCAGCCTTTGCAGGCCTCATGTGTGTGTGATGATGTGTGTGTGAATTGCAGGGCTGGGATGGTCTGTGCCCCAAAAGGGAGTGAGGTGGAACAGGGGTCTGTGGCCCCAACCCCCGAGCACCCAGGCCAGCTCCTCTCCCTCCGCAGGAGTACATCGGTGCATGTGTGGTACTCATTGCGGCCGTGACCTCCATCTCCAACTCCCTGCACAGGGAGCTCTCTGCTGGCCTGGTGGGCCTGGGCCTCACCTACGCCCTAATGGTGAGTGGCAGTGGGCTAGGGCAGAGGAGGGGTCAGATGCCAGCACTCCCAGAGCACCTTCCCCACTGGGAACATGAGACACCCTCAGGCCTTACCCCAAGCTCATTGGCATTTGATGCCAGGGGGACGGTGTGGGCAGGAAGGCTGATCGGCAGGCCCCAGAGCCCAGGCCTCAGACACGCGGAGGGTGGGGAGCCACATGACTGACCCTCCCCGTGCCTCCATGGGGGGCTGCTCTGAGCAGGCAGCCAATGACAGCAAGGGAATCTGGGGCCCTGGCCCCTCTCCAGCCTTAAGAAGAGCCATCCTGGTGGTGAGGACAGAACTAAGCGGCCACAGAGTATGCGCCACTGGTTTGCTCCCCACAGGTCTCCAACTACCTCAACTGGATGGTGAGGAATCTGGCAGACATGGAGCTCCAGCTGGGGGCCGTGAAGCGTATCCATGGGCTCCTGAAAACCGAGGCAGAGAGCTACGAGGGGCTCCTGGGTGAGGGGCGCAGGGAGAGGGGCGGGGAAGAGTGCGAGGAGGAGTGTGTCTGGGTTGGGGCCACGAGGGGCCTGGGGATGGGTTGGCACTCTCAGATACTAGCTATGGCCCATGCCTGGTGGCTGAGCCCAGCCCGGCCCCCAGCACCATCGCTGATCCCGAAGAACTGGCCAGACCAAGGGAAGATCCAGATCCAGAACCTGAGCGTGCGCTACGACAGCTCCCTGAAACCAGTGCTAAAGCACGTCAACGCCCTCATCTCCCCGGGACAGAAGGTCAGCATGCAGCCCCAACCCGATGCTGCAGGACAGGCGTGAGCAGGGGGTGGGGCACGCCCGGAGCTGGACGGCCTTGCAGAGTCACCTCGTGGCCCTCCAGGGCCCAAGGCCTCTCACTATTCAGACATCGCAGTCTCTGGCCCTGGGCTCATGGGGGGTTCAGCCCACCTTTCCTCTCCCTCTCTCCTCTTCTCCCACTGCTGTCCTCACTCATCCACCAAGGAGACGGACATTCTGGACTCCCCCAGCTCACAGGGGCTTCGTTGGGGCCTCCCTCTCTGCAAATGGTCAAGGGCTTTCTCTGCCACCAATCTTCAGAGCAGGAGCCTCGGGGCAGACAGCGAGGCCACCCTTGTACCGGGGGGAGAGCCCCTGCCTATTGCCCTGGCCCAGTGCTCCTCTCATCTTCCGCTCTGTCTCTGCCTTTGTCTCCCTTTGCTGTGGCTGTCCATGTCATTCTCTGACCTTGGGATGTGCCTCTTTCCCTGCCTCTCTTATCCTTCTGTGTCACTGTCTCTGTCTCTGTATTGTAATTTCTGTTGGCACCCAAGGGCCAGGAAGCAATGGGACCGGAGGTGGCTCCAGTATGAGGTGGGGCACACAGACACATCCCTGCATACCACTCTCAGCTGCCCCCATATTCTCCTGCCACACCCACACGCATAGAGATACACCAGTGCCCCCAGCTCTCCTGCAGCCAAATACTTGGCACACCCAGGCCCACACCAAGGCCCAGGCAAATGGACATCCATGCCTGCACTTGCGTGCTGGTCCCTGTGTGAGCCCTCTCTGAACCCACTGCAGGAAACAAGCCCAAACCTGTGGTGTCCAAAGAGAAGCTGGTCAGAAAACCAGGCCAAGAAGAAACCCTGTGACCTCCCACACCTGCACGCACACCCAGAGCTAGCACCAGAGGCTACTCCCAGCAGCCCCAGAGCCACAGCGGCGATGCCTGCTCCTCTCTTTCCAGATCGGGATCTGCGGCCGCACAGGCAGTGGGAAGTCCTCCTTCTCTCTTGCCTTCTTCCGCATGGTGGACACATTTGAAGGTGAGTTGTAAGGCGAACACCCCATGTGTACTCCAGCCACCAGATGAGGCCTCAGCCCTGGCATGTGGTCAGACATCACAGGAGGCCCCGCAGTCACCGCCTTCCCCTGCACCCTCATTCGGACCCATACAGGGCGCATCATCATTGATGGCATTGACATAGCCAAACTGCCGCTGCACACCCTGCGCTCACGCCTCTCCATCATCCTGCAGGACCCTGTTCTCTTCAGCGGCACCATCCGGTGAGCCCCACCACCCCTCAGGCCCACCCAGCCCAGGCCAGCTCAGTTCTATTAGACCTGGAGCACAAAAAGGTGGGGGCTGGGGGAGACCAGGATCCAGAGGCGTTTCCTGCTCATGCTCTTCTCCAGCCCATCAGGCCCAGGCAGGCTCTGGGAGGGGATCCCCCACCCATGGGTCTAAGATGCTGTCCCCAACCCAGTGTCACCACCTTGGTGCTTCTCCCAGCTGGGCCTCCAACTCAGTTCGTTCTCATTCACTGCCCTCTTTGCCCCCTGGGGATGCATGCAGGACCCTGCTCCCCCCCTACTGGGGCTTTCTGTGCCACCTCCAGATTTAACCTGGACCCGGAGAGAAAGTGCTCAGACAGCACGCTGTGGGAAGCCCTGGAAATAGCCCAGCTGAAGCTGGTGGTGAAGGCACTGCCAGGAGGCCTCGGTAACTACTCCTGGCTGAGCAGCCGGGTTGGTTGGGCATTCAAGGACCCTGTGAGGATGGGAGACAGAAGCCCATGTCTCAGGTTTGCCCAATGTTTGGAGTCTGAAGCCCACGAGGACCATTTAGTCCTACTTCTTACTATACAGGGGCCCAGAGAGGTCAGGTGTCTTGTCTTAGGTCATACAACTGGTCAGTTCAGGGTCTAGCCCCTTCTGCAAGAAACAGTGGGGACAGTCAGGGATCCTTGTGAGACAGAGATTGCAAGTCCCCCATACCATGGGGACATCTTGAGCCCTGCCCTGCCCAATCCATCTGCCTGCCCAGTTCTGCCCTAGGGGAGGAGAAGATGAACTGGGCAATCATAGACACAGGCCACTCCTCAAGGCCACTGGTGATTAGCAAAGCGTTAGTATATTTGCTACAGCTCCTGGAGCACTGGGGGTGACCAAGCCTTGGTTCCAATGAATCACCCTACCAAGGCCCACACTACATACAAACTCAGTGCACCACTCAATGTGCACGCCACTCCCAGAACTGCCCTGGCCCACAGCAGCACAAACCTCCAGGGTGCCTTTCTGGTTGCAGTCCCCGCAGATGGCCTCCACAGTGTTGTGGCAGGTGCATCAGCCCTGCACATGCCTGTGCTCTTGGACACACACCCACCTATTTGCCCCATACACACATTTTCCAATAGCCCCCCAAGCCATCCCATCTGCTCAACTCACAGCACAGGATTGACTCAGCCCTACTTCATCTCCCTGGGCTGTTTTCAGATGCCATCATCACAGAAGGTGGGGAGAATTTCAGCCAGGGCCAGAGGCAGCTGTTCTGCCTGGCTCGGGCCTTCGTGAGGAAGACCAGCATCTTCATCATGGACGAGGCCACAGCTTCCATCGACATGGCCACGGTCGGTCCTGGGCATCTCCATGGGACAGTGGGGTGCTAGGGAGGAATTTGCACCAAGTAGTACTGAGGCTCAAGTTGCCTTTAACACCAAAGGCTATGTGTGGCAGAAAAGGAAAAGGACTGGGGAGACCCTGACTCTGTCTAGTCTTAGGGAATGTTCACACACACACATGCACACAAAAACACATGTAACTATGCAAACACATAGGCTGCACACAGACCCACACAGACTTCACACTGTCACCTATCACAACAGCACACGCACAGCCACAGCCGCAACCCACTTACACACACAGAGCTGAGTTCCCAACAGGCTGAGTCCAGTCCCTGAGTGTTGGGAACCTGGTCAGTCCTGTGGGGTGGGGGTGGGGACTGGGATTGGAGTCAGATGGGAGCTGAGCCACAAACCTGGGCTCCACATCCCCCAAGCCAGGCCAGACCCCATCCACTGGGCAGGTGAGCCAACAGCTGCTGCCCCCACTTGGCAGGAAAACATCCTCCAAAAGGTGGTGATGACAGCCTTCGCAGACCGCACTGTGGTCACCATCGCGGTAAGGGGCCCATTGATGGGGTACAGAGGGGCACCCTGGGACAGGACTGGCCTCTTGGGGCTGTCATCAGTCTGCAGCCCCTGGGCTTGTCTGGTCCCAGTAATCAAGAAAGGACCCTGAAGCAGGCAGTTCAGGGCAAGGGGTCTGGAAGGCATTCAGGGAGCCTGGGCTGCAGGATTTGGGGTAGGGGGATTTGCCCCTGTACTTCCCTCAGTTGCCTTTAACTCTCCTTCTCCAGGTTCCAAGATCTGACCCTGTTTCCAGGCCTCGTACATTAGGCTGGGGTTACTTCTCCGTAGGATGTGGGGGAGGGGTTGGGGGTGGTCTCTGAGCCTTGAAACCTGGAGTTGGGGCAGAGCTGGGACTTAGGAGAGAAGCGTGGCATTAACGGATGGAGGGCTTGGAGTCACATCCACCCAGGAAAGTGCAGTCCTCACAGAGACAGGACATTCTGGTCACATGCCTCTTCCTCCAAGCTGCAGGAGGGCCGCCCTGAGCTCCTTCCCCTCTCACCCCCTCCTGCCCCACCAGCATCGTGTGCACACCATCCTAAGTGCAGACCTGGTGATCGTCCTGAAGCGGGGCGCCATCCTTGAATTCGACAAGCCAGAGAAGCTGCTTAGCCGAAAGGACAGTGTCTTTGCCTCCTTCGTCCATGCAGACAAGTGACCTGCCAGAGCCCAAGTGCCGTCCCACACCCACACCCTGCCCACACCCCTGCTGGGGTTTTCTAACTGTAAATTACTTGTAAATAAAGAGATTTGATTATTTCCTACTAGAGGCCCTGAGTCTGATGGGGAGGGGCTGGCACTGGATGGTGGGTTCAGTGGAGCCAGCCTGGCTTTGGCATCAGGTAGGCCTGTAGAAGCTGTGTGAGCGTGGGCAAGAGCCTGCCTCCTTACCTGTGAAATGAGGGCTCTTACTCAGCCCAGCTGCCACAACAATATATCACAGACTGGGTGGCTTTAACAACAGACATGTTTTTCTCACAGTTCTGGAGGCTGAAGCCCAGGATCAAGGTGTTGGCAGCTTTCGTTTCTCCTGAGGCCTGTCTCCTTGGCTTGCAGAGGGCCACCTTCTGGCTGTATCCTCACATGGCCTTTGCTCTATGCACATGCATCCCTGCTCTCTCTCTCTCTCTCTCTTAAAAGGACTCCAGTCATATTGGATTAGGGCCCCACCTCTATGACCTCATTAAACCTTAATTATCTCCTCACAGGCCCTATTTCCAAATACAGTTACATTGTAGGGTCAAGCTTTAACCTATGAATTTGGCGGGACACAATTATGTCCATGGCAAGGGTGATAGCATTTCTGCAATGAACTTACCAGATAAAGTAACAGATCTTCATAGAGCTTGGTCTCCCTTCATCTTGCTTTCATTCTTGAATTAAACTTGAATTAAAATCTGGATTAACACTATTTCAATTGCAAATGACAGGAACCCAATTCAGAGTAACCCAAGCAGAAACTGAATTTACAGCAGTATGTGACTGACAAGGCTAAAAGGTATATTACTTCAAACATGGCTGGATCCAGGTGTTTGACATCCATCCGGGATATGTCTTCCTTTCTGGGTTCCGTTTTCCTCTCCCTCCCTTATGACAGATGGCCCCTAGCAGCTCTAGCTTACATCCTGCTCCAGAGCAATCGAAGAGGCAAAAGAGATAGTCCTTGCCAATAGTTCTGGCAAAAGCTTGGGAGAAAATCTCAGTAGATCAATGTGGGTCACACTCCCATCCCCACCCCACTGTGATCAGAGGTGTGGCCTACACTGGCTGGCTAGGCCTGGATCATGTCTCTGTCTCCATCCCCCAAGCAGGGGCATTCAGAAGTGGTGGTCCTTAAGAGGGAAAGCACAGTGCATGAACCACAGGTCAGCCAGGTGACATCTAGGAGACACTAGAGCCCAGACACCAGGAAGACTAAAACGGCAGCTGTCCTGACTTCCTCTGCATCACGAAACAAAACTGCACATCTGCCTTCGCCCAAGAAATGGCAGGTGCTCATTTACATCTCATGCTATGATCATTTGCATGTCATCTGCAGTACTGGCTGCACCAAGCCCTGGGGTGCAGACCTAAGAGTCTTGAACCTGCATCCTCTTGGCTGCAAGGAGATCATAAACATGCAACATAAGAAAAGCCCACCAGTTATTGGAGGTGGGTCCAGTGCAGAGCCCTGTGGCTGGTCCAGGAGCCAGAGAAGCTCAGAAAGGAAGAGCTCTGTAAAGCCTGGCAGGCTGCCTGGAAATGACAGAATTTGAGTTAAACATGGGAGGGATAGGGATTGGATAGAAAGTCAGAGAAAGTGTTGGGGTGGCAGGTAGGGGCAACTAAGTAGTGATGGTGAAAGTGTGGTAAGACTGTTGGTTGATCAGGGAGGTGGGAGAGAGATGAGGGCAGTAGCGAGGGCATCATATCAGGGAGCCCTGAATGCCAGTTCAAGGAGTTGGGGGTATGCCCATGGACAAAAAGGGAGAAAGGTTTCAAGCAAGAAAGGGACCTGACAAGTGCAGTATTTAGTGGAGATGACTATGAGCCAATGCAGGATGGAGAAAAAGGGGAGGCTGAGCCCTTCAGGTAGGGGACTCGTGCTCTCAGAATAGTGGAGCAGTGGGGAGGCGAGGCTTCAGGGCAGCACCGTGAGGCAGAACCCAGCCTTTCTAGCTCTGAGATTTCCCCAGGGGCCCAGCAGCTTCCCCACTGTGAGATCTCACAGGAGCAGAACTGGAGAGCAGAAAGAGGACTCCACATGCCTACCACTACTCCAAAGCCTCCCCGTCCCAACTGATTGAAGGGAAGTAGCAGGGACAGGGCTTGGCCCACAGTGAAGTGTTGTAGGGATGCCCAAGGTCATCCTGGCCCCAATCCCTCTATAACATCCCTCATGGCCCACCAGCCTTGACTTGGGTACCCCACAGATGTGGCTCATCTCTGCTTATTGTTATTAGAACTGACTCTTATATACGTGAAAACAAAGCTTGCCTCTGTTCCACTTAGTGTCCTGGCTCTTCCCTTTGGGCCACGAAAAACTACTAGTTCATCCTCCTTCAAGGCCAAGTGTTTCTGCAACGGTGCCCAAACGCCTGGGGGGCTCTCCTTTTCTGATGGCTGGACAGCTGCAGTTGCCTCAGAGATTCTCCATGTAACCCTGTCTCCTTAAGCTTCCCACTCTGCTCATCTCATTTTACCCGCCCCTTCCTAGACACTGCATCTCTGTTAATATAACCCATGATCACACTCACCCTTTGTAGCAGTGTTCGCTCTGCCTGTAGGTGGGTAGTGAGAGAAAGGAAGATCCAGCATAAATGCATCCTCTGCCCCACTGTGGCTCCCAGCCACACTGCCCTTTCCAGCCCCTGCCTCAAGCCCCCACTCCAACAAAATGGCCACAGATGGTCAGGGGTTTCTCCATAAGGATCTGAGCCACAGAGATGGGTAAGGCGTTACTGTTCCAAAACAGAGATTTAACCGGCTTTCCCTCCCAGCTGAGAACCGGGGTCCATGCCACAGAGCAACCTCAGGCTGATGCCTGACCAGAAACACCACCATGCCTGAATCAAAAGCCTGGGTCCCCCAGTGCCTGAGGCAGCCCTAACACACTACTCAGGCCTAAATACTACCCTTGATCTAAGGTGGAAGAAGTCAGGTGACAGATGTGAGAAAATGTAAAGGAAGTGCCCTCTGCTCAAACCTTCTTTAAAGTAGGGCCGGAATGGTTGAGAAGATGGAGTGGCCCAGGCTGCCCCACAGCAGTAGCAGGTGTTAAACTGTGTTCCTCTCCTGCACCTGCTGAGGCCCTGTTTTGTTGTTTTTTTTTTAATGGGAAGGAGTCCGAGCTTCCATCAGATTGCCTAAGGATTCAAGACTAAGATTAAGAGCACCCCTAAAGAGAAGACGCTGTGAATTGAGAAGTCCTCGGGCCACCTAATTTCCCCCAGCCCCGGGACTGATGGAGCTGCCTCTCAGCGCCTCCTTCCCCGGGAACCAGCAAACCCAGCGCTGCCGAGAGGCGGATGATTGACCCAAATACGCATAGAGATACTGGGGGAGGGGAGACACGGCGACACGGTGGCGGCCCCAGACTGGAAGGGCGGGTCACAGATCCCTCCCCACCCCCCACTCTCATAGAGCGCGGGCAGGAGGAGCCTCTGGATCCCGCGTAGCGGACAAACCCCGAAGGCCAGGTTGTGAGTCCCAGGGAGGGAGGTGGAGGGTGGGGGCGGGGCTTGCTCCGGCCCGCCCCCTCCGCGCCGGAGCAGCTTGGGCGCCCCCTGGCGGTCCCCAGCCCCCGCTCCGCTCCTCGTGCGCCCCCCTCCCGCCGTCCTCGACCCCAGCCTGGCCCAGAGACCAGGTCGGTCTCCGCGGACTGACAAACGGACGGAAGGGAGGACGGCCAGCCGCGAGCGCCCGGACGGCAGGAGGGGGCGGGCAGGCGACTGCCGCGGCGTGAGGAGCAGGAGCAGGTGCAGCAGCGGCGACGGGCGGGGCCGGGACCAGGCGCGGAGCCGGGGCCGTGGCGCGGGCAGGCGCGCGGGCCAGCGGGCTGTGGGGACCGGGAGGCCGCGGCTCGGAGTCAGCCTGGCCGGGTCGCACGCGGGGCCGGCGACCCGGAGTTGAGCCTGGTTGGGTGGTGACTCCGGAGAACGCAGGATCCCAAGGAGACAGAGAGGACGAAAGCTGGAGGGAGATCCGGAGAGCTGCGGGGGCGCTCCGGGAGGGGTGGGGTAGGACTTAGGGGGCGCACCTGGAGGGGAGACGGGGCGGGGTGGCCACGACCTGAGCTGAAGCCTGGGATCCCGGGGTCTAGGCGGGTGAGGCGGGAGACCCGTGGGGTGGGGGTGAGGTCCGGTTAGTGGGAGAGATCTGGAGGTGTTAAGTTCTGATCTGGGCTGAGAAGGCAGGCTGGGCGCGGAGAAGGGCTCTCAGAGGGAGGCCCAGGGGTGGTCAGCTGGTGGGGGGAGCTGGGCGGGGACCCAGGTCCAGGTGGAGAGCCGGCTGGGTTGGGGGCTCCCTAAGCGGCAGGCAGTCGGGCTCAAGGATGAGGCTGGTATTAAGAAGTGAAGCGGGACCCAGGTGGAAGTGAGGCAGAATCTGGTGGGGAGGCATCTCAGAAGTGAGGCCAGCACAGGCTGAGCGCGGCCTCAGGTTGAGAGGGAGCCCACGGAGAGAACGCCGCAGTGAGGCCCTAGGCCACGTCAGAGGGGTGCCTCCGATGGGGGAAGCCTCTCCCTGGGGGTCACCAGAGCCATGCTGTCCCGCAAGGGCATCATCCCCGAGGAGTACGTGCTGACACGCCTGGCAGAGGACCCTGCCGAGCCCAGGTACCGCGCCCGGGAGCGGAGGGCCCGCTTTGTGTCCAAGAAAGGCAACTGCAACGTGGCCCACAAGAACATCCGGGAGCAGGGCCGCTTCCTGCAGGATGTGTTCACCACGCTAGTGGACCTCAAGTGGCCACACACGCTGCTCATCTTCACCATGTCCTTCCTGTGCAGCTGGCTACTCTTCGCTATGGCCTGGTGGCTCATCGCCTTCGCCCACGGCGACCTGGCCCCCAGCGAGGGCACTGCGGAGCCCTGCGTCACCAGCATCCACTCCTTTTCATCTGCCTTCCTTTTCTCCATTGAGGTCCAAGTGACTATTGGCTTTGGCGGGCGCATGGTGACTGAGGAGTGCCCGCTGGCCATCCTGATCCTCATCGTGCAGAACATCGTGGGTCTCATGATCAACGCCATCATGCTGGGCTGCATTTTCATGAAGACTGCCCAGGCCCACCGCAGGGCCGAGACCCTCATCTTCAGCAAGCACGCGGTGATCGCCCTGCGCCACGGCCGCCTCTGCTTCATGCTGCGCGTGGGCGACCTCCGCAAGAGCATGATCATCAGCGCCACCATCCACATGCAGGTGGTCCGCAAGACCACCAGCCCCGAGGGTGAGGTGGTGCCCCTCCACCAGGTGGACATCCCCATGGAGAACGGCGTGGGTGGCAACAGCATCTTCCTGGTGGCCCCGCTGATCATCTACCATGTCATCGATGCCAACAGCCCGCTCTACGACCTGGCGCCCAGCGACCTGCACCACCACCAGGACCTCGAGATTATCGTCATCCTGGAAGGTGTGGTGGAAACCACTGGCATCACCACCCAGGCCCGCACCTCCTACCTGGCTGATGAGATCCTGTGGGGCCAGCGTTTTGTCCCCATCGTAGCTGAGGAGGACGGACGCTACTCTGTGGACTACTCCAAGTTTGGCAACACTATCAAAGTGCCCACACCACTCTGCACGGCCCGCCAGCTTGATGAGGACCACAGCCTACTGGAAGCTCTGACCCTCGCCTCAGCCCGCGGACCCCTGCGCAAGCGCAGCCTGGCCATGGCCAAGGCCAAGCCCAAGTTCAGCATCTCTCCGGATTCCCTGTCCTGAGCCATGGTCTCTCGGGCCCTCCCCCCACACACACACGCGTGTGTGCACACGGACGGTGTGGTATGGTATGTAGCCCAGCCAGGGCCTGGTCTGAGGCTGCGCTGTCCTCAGCTCAGCCTCCCCCTGCTGCTCGTCCAGGGTGTTACAAGGCACTTGTCACTACGCTATTTCTGGCCTTAGCAGGAACCTGTGCTGGGTTATTTTTGTCTCTGCTCCTCCCAGCCGGATTCAGGACTGGCTTACCCCTCTCCCCCGCCCAAGGCTGCAGAGGCTGTGGGAGGTGCTGGGCCCTAAAGCTGGGTGTCCAGCCAGCCCTGGGTCCCCATGATCAACCAGCCACACACTGGGCAGGTGGCTGGGGAAGGACAATCCCCTGAGGGCTGCTGTTTTGCTTCTGTGGCTCCAAGAAATGCTTGTGGTCAGGCCCCAGCTCTCCTTGGTCCCTGAAAAAGCACCAGGCAAAGGGCTGGGGCTGGCCAGCAGGGGAGGACAGTTGATGAGAGAGCGTGTTCCAGCTGAAGGGTTGGAGCTGTGGAGTCTGCACCGACAGGGACAGGCTGCGGCTGACAGGGGTGCCCTCCAAGGGCCAGTTTCAGGGCTGGAAGGGGAGGCAGCAGGGGAAGGTGACTTGAGGAGGCTCGGCTTTGCGGAGCCCTGCTCAGGCACAGGGAGGCGGAGATGCGCAGTGCCCCTGCCTTTTGCCACATCGGCCTCCTGCGCTGAGTGCTCCATGGGCTGGGGCTGCTGCCCCTGCCTACTTCCTGCCTGTGCCCAGAGGCTGAGGACGGCGGGGGTCTTGTGCCCACCATACACAATGGGCCTCAGACCCAACTCCGGTCCTGGCTCCACAGCAGTGGCTGCCACTCACTCTGTCCAGAGAGTGGCTTGGGGTTGGGTGTCTTTGGGTTGCTGGAAAAGGTGTTGGAAGGTTCAGGATGGTGGGAGGGAGTGAGTCCCTGAGGTTCTGACAGGTTTGACCCGAGCCTGGACCCTTGCAGCAGTGCTGTGCGAACTTGCCTAGAACTCTGCCTTCTCCATTGTCAATAAAGCCTCCCCCTCATGACCTAAACTCTGGGCTGTTCTTGCTGGGGAGGCAGCAAGCATGCTGGTGGGAAGGGAGGCCGGGGCTGGCAGCTGCCACCCCCCTCAAGAGACACCATAGACCCTAGCAGGGAGGCGGGGGAGGAGTGGGAAGTTGGCATCTCTTCCCCCAGCTCAGGGGGACTTTCCCCCTCCGGCCTCAGGTGGCCCTGCCCTGTCAGCCTGTCTGGCCAACTCAGCCTTTGGGCACCCACCCGGCTCTGCAGCAATGGGCTCTGTCTCTATCCCAGGGACCTGCTGGAAGGCTGGAGTGCCCAGGGAGAGGGGTATTATAGGCATTAATGTAGTCATTGGAGTACTAACTTTCAAGCCAACTGCCTGGGTTCAAATCCTGGCTCTAGCTATATGACTTTTGTCAGTAATTTAATCTCTCTGTGTCTCAGTTGCCTCATCTATAACATGGATGCTAATAGTACCTACCTCATAGAATTGTTTTGGGAGTAAATGAAAAATATGTAAAATGCTTAAGTGCCTGGTCTACAGTAAGTGCTCAATAAATGTTAACTATTGTAATTGCTGCTGAATCAGCTACATGATGAGAAAACTGGCCAAACAAGCGTTAAAGAGAGACGGTGCTTTTATTTTGCCCTTGGTCATGTTTCTTTGCAGGGTCTTTCTTTCCCCATGGTGCCCCCTCCCAGCTGAGACCATGATTTTAGGGGCTGTGGCAATGCCTATGACCTGATCTTGTGTCCATCTCACCCACTGCAGTCCATCTGCCACACAGCCTCCAGGGTGGCCTTAGAAGGGTGGGTCATCCCCCACCCCCACCATGAAATAACTTCAGTAGTTCCCCATCACCTCTGGGTCAGGTCTAGCCTCTTAGCCAGCCATTTCAGGCTGTGACTGCCTCTCTGGCCTTATGGTCCACTGTTTTCTTGCCAAAAGTCTGGACTCGCCCACCCACTTCCTTGGCTACCTCACTGTCCTATCCCTCCTGGCACGTAATGTTGAGCCTCCTACCTCTTAGCCTTTGCTTGTGTTATTCCCTTGGCCTGGACCTCCCAGGCCTCATCTCCGTCTGTTGAAATCCATAAAAATCCAGGCTGAATGATGCCTCCTCCAAACCTTCTCTGATTTCTCTGGAAAGTGTAGGTCCCTTCCCTCCCCTGCACTATGGGCATTCTCCCTTTGCCTGCGTTTAGGGGTCTGCCTCCCCATCCCAAAGTCCATGGCTCCCTGAGGTCAGGGACTGTGATTCAGCACTGCGGCTGGCTTACACTGCGTAGGTGCTATGTGAATGAACAAATGAATGAATGGATGACGCATGGATGGCATACAGGACAAAAATCCAGGGTTATTGCTACAGTGTGAGGCCTGCAGACAGGGCATCAGTGAGGGTCTGTCCCAGGCGGCTCCAGAGGCATGGCCAAGGGGCCAGGAAGTTGCCACTGCTGGTCTGAGCTGCCCTCTCCGGCACCCACCCAGTGCCCTGTGCTGATTCCCTTCCTTGCAGAGCTGACCCATTTCTGGTTTAGAAGGTAATGGGGTGAAAGCTACTCAGAATCAGCCCGCCATTCTTGGAGCCTGGCTCTTGGGACTCTGGTCAGCAGCCCTTAAGGCCAAGGAGAAGGGCCAGACTCACTAATGAGGAGCTGCTGGCAGCACCATCGTTGGAGCCCCATCCAGAGTAACCTTCCTCTGCCCATCACGGACCTTAGGCTGCTCGTGAGTCTGAAGCCTACAGAACTGAGGGCTTCGCGCCACCTGCCGGCCACAGAGAAGACTTACTTCAGCAGAGAAAATCAGGGCCCCTGGTCCTATGTTTTCCACCAACTCTGAGGGAGACCCCCAGCCTTAAGTGCAGCCCAGGGAGGGGCTGGAAAGCTCCAGCCATAGAGAGGCAGTTCAAGCAAACCTCTCTTCTCCTCAAAGGCGTTCTTGCCCACTGATGGCGCTACCTCCATCTGGGCCACCCTTTCTCTATGGCATTGGCCTCAATTGGACAAAGAAGTTCACCTGAGCGCCATTCAGCCCAGCCAGAATTTCTGTGGTAATTTTGTTTCTGATATTCTGCCTCCAGGACTTCATTCATTAGTCATCACATGACAGCAGAGGAAGCGGTCTGGCCTGTCCACACACTGTGTGCAGAGCTGGCTTGGCTCCAGGGCCCCTGAAAGGAGAAGGGAAGTACCATGTGTCACTGTGGCCCAGCAGGACTATGAGAGAAGCACCGTTCTCGTTTGAGTTTGTATATGAGGAAACAGGATCAGAATGGATTGCGTCTTAGACCATTCAGGCTTCTGTAACAAAATACCATAGACTGGCTGGCTTATAAACAATAGACATTTATTACTCACAGTCTAGAGGTTAGGAAGCCCAAGATCAAGGTGCCAGTGGATTCAATGTCTGCTGAAGGCCTGCTTTTTTTTTTTTTTTTTTGAGACAGAATCTTGCTCTGTCACCCAGGCTGGAGTGCAGTGGTGTGATCTCGGCTCACTGTAACCTCTGCCTCTCGAGTTCAAGTGATTCTCCTGCTTCAACCTCCCGAGTAGCTGGGACTATAGGCATGTGCCACCACACCCAGCTAATTTTTGTATTTTTAGTGGAGATGGGCTTTCACCATGTTGACCAGGATGGTCTCGATCTCTTGACCTCGTGATCTGCCCACCTCAGCCTCCCAAAGTGCTGCGATTACAGGTGTGAGCCAGTGTGCCCGGCCAAAGGTCTGCTTCTTAATTAACTGTCTTTCCCCTATAACCTTACAAAGTGGGAGGTGTGAGGGAGCTTTCTGGGGCCTTGTTATATAAGGGCACTAATCCCATCTCCACCCTCATCACCTAACCATCTCCCAAAGGCCCCACTTCCAAATACCATCATCTTGAGCATTCATATTTAACATGTGCATTTTAGGGGGACACACACACTTACCCTATAGCAGGAGGTAATTTGCTAAGATCTCACAGCTAGTAAGAGGCAGGTCCAAGATTTCAGCCTGATTATATCTAATGCCACAGCCCTGCTCTTCCCTCCCCCTCTTCCCCACAGCACACTGTCCCAGTGACCTGAGCTCCAGCTTTTAGTAGGGCTGTACCTTGTTCTAAGTGTCAGATTCACCACAGGGAGAAAGTTGTCTCCAGACCAAGGGCAAGAGGGAAGGTGGAACTCAGGAAGCTACTGGGCCTCCCTGAGATCCCAGATTGGAAACTGACAGCAGGCTTGGCTGTTCTGTGACAGCCTAGATTATGTCCAAATCATGTATGGAGTCAGAACAACCTCCCTAGCACTTTCTCTGGCCTACGTGCATGGTGAGCCCGCCATCTTATCCCCTCTTACAGGAAAACTGGAGTCTTAGCCTTCCAGGCTATTCTTCTCCCAGCAAGTTAGGCATCAGAGCAGCCTGATTGGGCACATCTGCCACCCATCTGTCCCTAACTCTTATCAATGATGTGAGATGTGTTCTGGGCCTCAGTCCTGAACTTCACAGGGAAGCAAAGCCAGGCCTCCCTCTTCCTGTGTGATAGTCTAGAAGAACTAGACTATCACATACTGGAACCTGCCCAGGCCTAACACCTGTGAATTTGGCATCTCCAGCCAATCTCACCATGAGACCCACCTGAGCCCCACTAATGTGTACCTCTGGCCCTTCTGCTGGAGAGGACTCACGCAGCTTCTCCAGGGCCCACTTTCCACAGGCAGGAGGCTCTGTCCTTCACCTGAGCTCCTCCGGCACATCTTTTTCTAAGGAGAACTTTCCCAGGGAGCTTGCATTCACAGGAGAGCCGCCCTGGTACTCCACAGTCTCTGGGCTCCCCAGGGCCTCTGAGGTCTCCCCAGACCCAGAAATCAGACACTTGGTGTTGTACCAAGTGTGCAGATAACTTTGGAAAGAAGACATGAATTCTGTACATCAAAGTCATGTTGACCCCAGGTCCGAACAACAACAGATTGATTCCAGCTTGAAAGAAGCTGGGGAAGGGAAGAACAGTGGGGATGGTCGGAGCTGGGCCAGAAGTGCCTTTTCTTGTGCTGGATTCTGGGTTACGGGCCATCCCTCTGCCAGATCTACCTGCCCAGGGCACTCTTTATAGGAGGGGAAACAGGTGCTAACCCACACCCTATTCTAGTTCCAGTCTGGGCAGGTCCAACTCTGGAGTGATGTGAAGAGCAGGCTGCTTGGACTAGCCAACCTGGGTCCAGGAGTGTGAACTTCTGCCTTTTCCCCCGACCTTGGTTCCTGGCAGGCACCAAGGCCAGTGAGTGGAATGAGTAACACAAAGTGCCTGTCCAACTCCACAGCTTATTACCTTCACTGGGGGAAGCAACGATGTTCAGGTGTGTGGCACAGGTTGGCACTACCCAGCAGCTGTCTTTAGTTTATAGGATCCAGTTAGCCATTTTGTTAGCCCTTTTGTTAGCTCCTTCATTAAATGATATTGCTCCTTGCAGCACAAATATGTCCCAACCTCCTCCCCCCCAGATCATCAGCCGCCAAATGAAGCAAACCAGACGTTGGGTAGTCTTTCCTCTGTTTACTCTTTACACCATTTGATCAATTCCAACTTTTTTCACAATGCCATTGTTATTGGGGGAAAGGGAGTAACTTCAAGTTAATCTAGAGAGAAGCAAATGCAATACAGTTCTGACTGAGATGCGGATTCCTTTTTGTTAAATGCCTGCTGTGTCCTTGGTTTCCCATTCACCTGGGAATTAGAATTAAAATCATTCCATAGTTCCGTGCAAGGAGGTCAGCTCCAACTGTGCTCTTGAGCAGGCTGTCTGGGTCCTCAGGAAAAGCCACTCCAGTTACTCACACATTCTCTGAGAAACCTTGTCGTCTCTGCCATCTGTCTCTGTGTAGGAACTGCCAAAGTCCTTGAGGTGGTTCCCCATCTCAAATAAGCAGTGAATGGGTTACTTCCCTCATTCTCATCCTTTAGTCCCCCCTTGTGTCAGTTTGAATCTTCCAGGAAGCAGCTTTCAAGATGGAGTTAGAAGTGCAAGTGAGTAATTAGGGGTGGTTCCCGTGAAAGATAAAGGGGAGAGGGTGTAGGCGGGAAAGCCTCAGACCCCAGTGCAGGCTGTGAAGGGAGAGGCGGGGGAACCAGGGAGGATTAAAATGCACCTTAGGGTACAGTAAGTCCTCACTTAAGGTAGTTGATAGGATCTTTGAAAACTATGACTTTTTAATAAAATAATGTAGAGCAAAACCAATTTTCCAATAGGCTAACTGCTATAAGAATTAAATTTACACATATTTCTGGTCATAAACATATCATCAAACTTCTAAATAAAGACCAAACACTTTAATATTTAACACTGAAATATACATATAAATGTAAACATATATACATTTAAGAATGATTACTAGGCCAGTTGCGGTGGCTCACCCCTATAATCCCAGCACTTTGGGAGCCCAAGGCAGGAGGACAGCTTGAGCTCAGGAGTTTGAGACCAACCTGGACAGCATGTCAAGACCTTACCTCTACAAAAAACACCAAAACATTAGCCAGGCATGGTAACATGCACCTGTAGTCCCAGCTACTCAGGAAGCCGAGGTGGGCAGATCACTTGAGCCCAGGAGGTGGAGGTTGCAGTGAGCCAAGATTGTGCCACTGCACTCTGGCCTGCGTGACAGAGTAAACTTGCTCAAAAAAAAAAAAAAAAACTAAACTAAAAAGTACTAATTACCCAATGATTCCAGTGCAGAGTTATGGGTGGCCCACAGCTCAGAGTACTAAGTGGGCATCAACCCTGGAGAGGATGGCATCCTGTTGTAGGGCATGCTCACAGCCACGCCCTCACTCACTTGGACTGGCACCATTTAGACACCCCAATTTACTGAAAGTGCACATCTTTGGGATGTGGGAGGAAATCAGAGTACCTGAAGAAAACCCGTGCAGGGCTGGATGCGGTGGCTCATGCCCGTAATCCCAGCACTTTGGGAGACCAAGGAGGGCAGATCACAAGGTCAGGAGTTCAAGACCAGACTGGCCAATGTGGTAAAACCCCATCTATACTAAAAAATACAAAAATTAGCTGGGCATGGTGGCTTGTCCCTGTAATCCCAGCTACTTGGGAGGCTGAGGTAGGAGAATTGCTTGAACTGAGACCAGGGAGGTGGAAGTTGCAGTGAGCTGAGGTCATGCCACTGCACTCCAGCCTGGGCTACAGAGTGAGACTCCATCTCAAAAAAAAAAGAAAACCCATGCAGATCATGAAAACTCCACACAGACAGTGGCTCAGGTTAGGAACTGATTTTATTTTCATTCATGTGATAACAACATGACATCAAACAAAATGATATTATTCCAGCACCTAATGAACAACTGAAAGTCTTGGCCACCCCAGATCCTCGAGATCAGCAGCTGGAGATCTGGGATGTAGTTCAGAATTCCAGTATCAGCTCCCAATAGGGAGCTCCTGCCCTGCTCAGTCAATGGCAGGAGCAGTCCGGGGACAGCATGGCACCAGCTGGAATACTGAAGTAGATCCCGGAGATCTTCAGCAGGAACCTGTCAGCCGACTGCACTCCTCACACAGACCCTCTCCTGAAGGGGGTCTCAGAGGCACCTGTGGCTACCACACTTCTTTTGGTCAAAGCACAGCTTCCTGAGTTGTAGCACTTAGCTTACGCTGTGTAATAGCACCAGTGTAAAACAGTGGCTTTAAAATTTTTTATATATTAATTTGATATGTTTTACATAATAAAAATGTTTTCCAAGTATTGGAAAGTTGGCTTTGCCAGCTCTGCTGATCTCAGATTTGCTCACATGGAGTCAGGTGGTTGTCATCTAATCTAGCCTGGCCTCCACTGGAGCAACAAGAATGTGGTAGCCAACATCTCTCATCCACCAGCAGGCTGGCCTGGACTTGCCCTTCTCTCAGCACCGTCAGAAGCACACGAGGAAGCAAATGAAGACACACAAGGCCTCTTGAGGCTTACACTTAGAACTGGTATGCCTTCACTGCTGTCTCCTTACATTGGCTGAAAGAGGTCACATGGTTGGAGGCACTGCAAAGTTACACAGCAATGGACATGGACATAGGGAAGGGTGAAGGATTGGAGTCATCTTCGCAAACAAGCACGGGACCAAGTGGATCATAAAGGATTTGTTTTCTTTTTCCCTAAGCGTCATTGCTGATGTTGGGGTTATCAGTCATAAACTGAGAGTGTTACAATCTCACCAATGCACCACAATGTAGCAGTCTCTCATTGCCCAAGGTATCACCTAAAGTTCTTTGTCTCACAACCAAGAAAATTAAGGAGCATGGACCCCAAAGATGAGGTTGCAGCAAAAGTTTAAAAAGCAAAAAAAAGCTCTCCGCTGCCAACAGGGGGCCCAAAAGATGGTTGTCATTTCACAGTTGAATATAGAGGCTTTTTATAAGAAATTGATGAGAGCTGGGCATCTCACTTGCATAAGGCATGAATTTCTGGTAGTTTCACCCTGTCCTCCGGTGTACATGCAGGCTCTTAGCTTGAGTTACTCCATGTGGCTTTGTTCCCCTTACTGCACATATCTCAGGAGATAGAATTTTCCATTGTGAGCATGTCTGGGTACGTCTCTTGTGTAGCCTTTCTTACCGATACAGCTGTGAACATGTCTAAGGCAAGCCCCCCATGCAAGTTATTTTATCTGTGCCTGCAGTTTGATTTTTCAAGCTGTCCTTTTGTTTGAAAGAATTTTACCAAGGACCCACTCTAACTGCCTGCCTTCCTTCATCCTCTCTCATTCCCCACTTTAGGAGTGGAGACCCCAACTGCTGTTGGGGAAAGTGGACGATGACCGTTCCTGGCTGCTTCCTGCTGGAAGGGGGTGTCGTTGGGGTTACAGCAGTTAGGGCTCCTCCTAAGATTGGTCTAAGGGTCCCTGGAAGAATGGTGTGTCTATGCGTCATTCCATCTGCAGCACCATTTGGTCTTTAATAGCCTCTAAGTGAGAGGAAACAGTTTGAGTTACAGTATTGAATACACAAAGTCCAAACATTCATACAAAACACACAAGCAAAATGGGACCTAATAAAGGAGCTAACCAGTTCCACAAAGAAGAATGGAATCCATTAAGGAGGGATTACAGCCAGCTGGGACTGGAGCCCACATTTTCTCTTAATCTGTCAATGATTCTAATTTGATCTTTAAGCACCTGTAGGTTTTCTTCTACTTGACTAGAGGTGTTGATCTGGAAGTGACATGTTTCTTTTAAAAAGTGCACAGGTACCCCCTACTTTGGCCATAAGGATATCTAAGGCCTGTCTATTTTGCATAACTACGAGGCTAAAGAGATTTTGGATTATTGTTGTGTTTCTATGGCTCCTACTGTTGCCTTCTACTCTCATTGCGTCATAATAGAAATATTAAGTACTGATCTTTCAAGGAGAGGAATACCAGCAAACCAGAATAGGCCTCTAGCTATAAAATCCCCTATCCGTGGTTTTTCTAAGATAGGACTGTCATGTGTACGTCCTACCCAATCTTCTCCTTCAGTTAAATCTCCATACAAGGGCATGGAAATGACAGACCTCTTTGTTTGGTGCATCTGAAATCACACACTCGCTAGAAAAGAGGATAGGTTAGGGATGTCCCCAGATGATGCTGCCATACCAGTGGAATTTAAAAATAGTAAGTCAGGGACCACTGCCACAATAGTGCAGGTTTCCTTTCAGTGCCTAGGGAGGATTAAGTGTAGCCAGGAGCCACAAAGGAAATAAAACTCTGTCCCTTGAAGGTCCAGTTCTGAGTTGTAGCTTGTGAGAGACTCAGGCAGATCTTTCTCATATCTTAGGAGCTTCCCCCTCTTACATATAATAGGAACATCTTTGGCATAGGGATATCCATACTCAGGATAGTCACTCATGATGCCATGTGGAATTTTACATGCTAAATGAGAAGGGTCCACTTGACAAATGGAGTTTTAAAAGACCAGGGACACAATATGTCCCAGCCAATATCTCGGATAAGCCTTGTGGCAGGGGCTCTCAGTCCAGAAGTCTCCTGTACACCCACAGATTTGTAGGCCACTACTACTAAGCATCATACAAAAGGGTCTGGAATTCCATGAGGGTGCATGTCTGGGAAGGCCCATGTGTTATTTTTTACATTATAATGCCATGTGTCAGGGCAGTTAACCAGAGCCCGCCATTCCCAGCAGGACTTCCAACCAGGAGAAGAGGCTAGATTCCGAAAGCCTCCCCATATGGCTTCCAATTTTCTTAGATCATCCTTATTGTGTCTTTTTCTCCAAGTGTCTGAGCTTTCAGCAATTACAAGTGTGTTGTTACATATCTGAGATCTCCCAGCTATGATCTTTTCCCTCTGCTTTTAAAGCAGGAAGAGGCATTTGCTATTACCCTGCTGACTTTTCCTACCCTGAGGGTGTGAAGCTTTCTTTAGGGAAAGTGTTTTCTGGTATCAGGGAGGAAATGCTTTCCTGGGAGGAGTTAGTTACCCACTTGAAAGTGCTCCCATACCATGTTCCATTCATGCCTGATAAGTCTTCAATGGTTAAAGGTAAATCTAAGAAAGGGAATCTTAAGACAGTAAGAACCAGGTCATGAAGAGGTCCCTTAGTGTTACTGAACTGAGCAAACCACTCAGGTCAGACTCAGCAATTAGTCTCATATAAATGGGCCATGGCTGATACTGCAGAGGCTAAAGGGTGTGATGTATTCCCAAACCCCATTAAAAGCCCTAGCAGACTCAGCAATAGTAAAACTTTCATGTTTACTTTTTGTCTGTGACTATTATCCCTGCCATAAGGATCATAACTAAGCCAAGTATCACAGCAATTGAGACCATCTGTCCAATATATTCCAGTCAGGAGGTGCTACAGTCAGGATTCAGAATCCAGTCAGGATTCCTACAGGAGGTACAGTGTATAGCCCTACTGCAAAAAGTAAAGTCAGCAAAATAATCCCTGCAAGTATGGTGTGGTGAACGATTTCCATCTGAGGTTTTATCAGTTAAAATGCTGAACTTCCCTTTGCAGGTCTGTAAAATTACAGATCTGATCCCACGGACAATCAAAGTCTCCTCGCAAATATGCGTGAAAAAGAAGTTGCAACACTTGACAATGGTAGATCTCGAAAGGAAAGGTGGAAATAATGGAAGGAATCTGGCAGGGTAAAGGTAGGACCGAGCTAGACAGGTCGTCCTCATTCATTTACTTATCTTTTGTTCTTTTCAGTTTAAGGTCCCCAACTTCTTCACATCAGTATCTGGGATGCTCTTCTGGGCTGTCAGGGGCTGCTGCCTCTGCTTTCCAAGCCTGGCTGAAGTGTGATAAATCCAAGAGTTGATTCCTGCAACTTTCACAGCTGAATAGGTGGAAACAGTATAGGTCCCTCCCACCTGGAGCCTAGAGAGGAGGAAAGAGAAGAGAGAGCCTTCACCAGTACTAAGTCTCCCAGGTTCAATAAAGCTTGTCCTATTTATTGGGGTTGGGCTTCCAGGTGCTGTTTTAATTCCCAATGGAAGTGGCCCAGGGAGGTTATATGTTTGACTAATTCAGAGATTTCCTGGTCTAGTAAGAGATCATTGATAAGGAAAGGCCACCCGTTTGTAATTTCAAAAGGGCTCAAATCCAACTTTGAAGGAGTATTTCTTATCCTCAGTAGAGCTAAGGGGAGATTCACCCAAGAAAGGTGAATCCCCTGAGAGAGAGTTTTCTAAGGTATCTTTTGATAATATCATTTGTTTTCTCCACCTTTCCTGAATATTGTGGTCTCCAGGCACAATGAAGATGGCACTGTATGCCTAGTGCCTTTTGAGCACCACTAGATAGAGGCCACTTTAAATGAGGAGCCACTGTCACTTTGGAAGTACTTAGGGAGCCCAAAGCGAGAACTTATTTATTTATTAGTATTCTCACCTCCTCAGAGGTCTTTTCTGTTTGGCATGGGAATGCCTCTACCCAGTTAATGAAGGTATCCACCCACACCAAAAGATAATTGAATGCCATTTATTTTAGGCATATGGGTGAAATCTATCTGCCAGTCCTCCCCTGCGTAACTTCCCATCCTCTGAGTGTGGCAGGGAACAAGCCATCTGTTAAGGGGATTATTTTTAAGATGAGTTTCACAAGCATTAATGACCTATTTGACCATTTTCAGTAGAGTGTTCCCTAGAGGTTTGTTTCTCAGAGTTGGGAGAGTTATCCTCTGTGGACTTGCCTGATGTAACTGCTAGGAGAGCAGAGTCAATTCTACAACACTGACAAAGATCTGAGTTGTCTTGCAAGGCAAAGAAGGCTTGCACATAAGGCACCTCAGACCATTTGCCCTCCTATCTATGGAAAAGATCTAGTTGTTGAATGGTATTAAAATTAACACTTCCCTCAGAAGGCCAGGCCTCCCCATCCTGCAGCTGGTAAGATGGCCATGCCTGAGTGCAAAAGAATACAAGGTACTCTTTCTTCAGAGTCTGAATGTCAAAGGAGTTCCAATGTTTCAGAATGTACTTGAGAAGAGATGGCTGGAGATGATTTGTTATACAACTGGAGATTAGTTGTTACACATCTAGAAAAAGAGGAGAGAAAAGGCAACCTGTAGTCTCCTTTGTCCTTCTGCAGTGACCCAGGGCAGAGAGAAGACAGAAGGGGCATCCCCTTCTCCTCTTCCCCACCATTTCCTCAGGTTCCTGGCGACCATTATAGGTGCTGCCCAAGGATGCAAGTATGACCTTCACCCATGAATATGGAGGAGCTAGCTTGTGCTCACCTGCACAAGGCTCTAGCTCTCCACCCTGCTGGTTTCCTAGATCTACTTGGCCCATAAGGCTCCCAAGATTCCCCAGGGCCCTGGGAGAGATTGTGCAGTAGTTGAATTTGGGCAAGACCCTTTAAGGAAGGGAGCATCTTAACTTTATCCTTACATCCTCTTACTACCACCCAGGCAGAGTTATGAATTCCTAGAGAATGAGACTGATTGACTTCTAAACATAAGACCCCTTTCTCACTTAGATGCCAATGTAGCTGGATGCAGAACAGATGCCTCAAAAGAATGTAAGAACTGAATGGCTGTTCTCCTTCCGATGGGGATAACACTGAGGCTAAAATCTGTCTTGCTAGGGTGGCTTTCTCTTGGCTGTTGAAAGGGGAGTTTTTCTGCTTACAAATAGGGAATGGGGGCTGATCACTGAGAGAGGGACGTAAGAGGAAAAGGAATAGGAGAACCAGGGTTTTGGGCAAAGGGCCAAGAATGCTTCTCACAGAGAGAAAAATCCCATCCCACTAGGTGGCACTGTAGGGTTTGAAATATTAGGAGAAATCTCTGACTCCAAATTCTTTCCAAGCAAAGGTTAGAAAGAGAGGTTTGGGGCTTCATAGGCTATTCCCATAATATGCCGCCCAGCAGAAAAAGACTAGTTTGTCTCATAAAGGGATTGCTTAAATTCACTGGGCAATGCTGAGCTCTTACATAAAGGAAAAAACAACCCAATGGAGAAAAGGGTATTTGCTTAGGGTGAAATATCCCCCTATACAACGCTGTGAATGTCTATCATTGTGCAACAGAAAAAGCCCTTACTAAGTGGAAGTTTAGGATGAAATCTTTAAGTCCCCCTGTCTCAAGGAAATCACAAAAACAACAATTCTTTGAGATACACTCCTCATTACTAAGACACTTGCTGACTTCACTTAACAGGATTATCTCCCAGTCTGTAAAAATACCCACAACATTGCATACAAAGAAGGAATAGGAGAAATAGTAGCCACAAAAAGCAAGGAAGTAAATGCAATAGAAAAGTACTGGAAGTCCTGGTGCTGACACCCTGATGGGCCGTTGGGGGCTGGAGTTAGTCCAGAGGCCTTCAGGTAACACCAAGGATAATCCTGAAACAGAAATCTTCAGTTGCCCTAGGACCTCCTTCTAGTCTATGTGACAGCTGGTCCTCTGTGAAAGGAAACTGGATTGCAACAGTGCCAACATTCCCAACACCTGAGGGTGAAGGGGGACTGACAAAGTCCTCTCCAGCAAGCCTGTCCCCTGAGTCTCGTAAGGCTGGCAGCCACTCTAAAAGCTTTTAAGTGGCTCATGGAGCCCAGTGTTTTGTTCAGTATTGAGGAAAAAAATCTGAGGACAAGAAGCCTCTGAAATGAAAGTAAAGAGTTTGGAGGTCTGCTCCTACTCACCCTTCCAACCTTTCCTGGCCAATGCACCAAAATGTTAGTCTCATCAATGCACCACAATGTAGCAGTCTCTTGTTGCTCAGGGTATCATCTGACATTCTTTGTCTCACGACTAGGAAAATTAAGGAGCGTGGACCCCCAACGGTGAAGTTGGAGTGAAAGCTTAATAAGCAAAAGAAGAAAGCTCTCTGCTGCAGAAAGTGGGCCCGAAAGTGGGCTGCCGTTTCACAGCTAAATACAAAGGCATAAGGCACAAATTTCTGGTAGCTCCACCCCATCCTCCTAGTGCATGCACATGCAAGCCCTTAGCTTGAGTTACTCCATGTGGCTTTGTTCCCCTTACTGTGAATGTGTCAGAGGAGGGAATTTTCAATTGTGGGCACGTCTAGGCAAGTCTCCTGTGTAGACTTTTTTATCTATGTGGCTGTAGGCATGGTTTAGGCAAGCCCCCCTGTGCAAGTTCCCTTATCTGCAGTTTGATTTTTCAGGCTGTTCTTTTGTTTGAAAGAATTTTACTGAGGGCCCACCCTAACTGCCTGCCTGACGAGTTTCTTCCTTCCTCCTCTCTCAATAGCACCTGAATATCAGAGCCAGGGAAAGGCAAGAAATATGACAACAGTCATGAATATCACAAGGAGCATTTGAAAACCACTTTTTATCCAGTTTTCTCACTGGCCTAGATCCAACCAGAATAAGTCCCAGGAATCTAAATGGCCAACTTTAGATAAAGAGCCTTTTTTCTTAATTGATTATTCTACTTCGCCTAACAAATTTATAATGAAGTGTACTCGCTGTTGTGCAGATTTTGCCTTGACAAGCCCATAAATAATTGAGGGCCCTTTTATTACCTAAAATGATTTTAACCAACACATTTGCATAGGTCTCTTGGGCCTCTAAAGCTTGAGCTGTTTTACTCACTATTTGGGCCATATTCAGGGATAAAAATGTTTAGAACCATGTTTTAGTTTAGAAATACCTAGCATGGGTTAGAAATTCTTAGTCAAACCAGTAAAATCTGGTGGTAAGTTATTGAACAGATAAAATATGAGGAATTCCCCTCTCTGAGCCATAGTTTCTAAATGTGTGAGAAAAACAAACAATCCACACATAGTTCAGGGCCTAGTCTGAACACTAAGATCTGGTTCATTCACAGAGATATAATACTTGTTTAGTATGGAGAAACGGAAGGAGGCTTTACAACACATCACCCCAGAGTCAAAAACCACCACACAGAGGTCAGATGACTAAGTTCTTCTCCAGCACATTATCAGAAAAAGCCACACACCACAAACACCCAGCAATACCAACAATCCCTCCACATCCATCCTGAGAACCCCAACACCACCCAATGACCATGATCCCTCAACTCCTGGAGCCAACCCCAAGACATAGGGCTGAACTTTGTTTTGGAGCCCCTTACCTTTTTCCAAAGAATCAAAACAATTAATAAAATCAGTCCAAAAACAATGAATGGCAAAATCCACAAATAATTGGCAAAGACAGCTGTCTTCTCAGATTCTGCAGAGAGAGAAGGAAAACATTAACAGGAAACCTACTGGTAAGGGCCAGAGAAACCACACAACTGCTGCTGGAATCTGGGTGGTTGTGTCATTTTCCTTGTCAGAGATTTAACCACCAGTCCTCTGCCACATGTCTCTGTGTCTCCATTCCTATCACATACACCTCCACATATCCAACAGTGTATGTAGCACTTGTCAAAAACATGGAAAATGAATACCACATGCCACATACATGTGCCACCCTCATCTTCAAACCTTCTGTACTACAACACCATCTTCTACCCCTAAGTGCGTACCACCCAGACAGCCCCTCATACTATACATGCAAGGTATGTTTCCATTTCATACTCCCCATGGCCACACATAACAGTCCCTCCAACTCTGCACACACCACCCCAAGACCCTCCTAGTCCTTACTTCCAAGAATAATTCCTCTCAGGCCGGGCGCGGTGGCTCACGCCTGTAATCCCAGCACTTTGGGAGGCCGAGACGGGTGGATCACGAAGTCAAGAGATCGAGACCATCCTGGTCAACATGGTGAAACCCCGTCTCTACTAAAAATACAAAAAATCAGCTGGGCCTGGTGGCGTGTGCCTGTAATCCCAGCTACTCAGGAGGCTGAGGCAGGAGAATTGCCTGAACCCAGGAGGCAGAGGTTGCGGTGAGCCAAGATCGTGCCATTGCACTCCAGCCTGAGTAACAAGAGCAAAACTCCGACTCAAAAAAAAAAAAAAAAGAATAATTCCTCTCTCCCTCAGGACCATCCCAGGCTCCATCTGGCATACCCTGACCACATTCCTCAGGAACTCCAGTCACTCCCTGCCTTCCTTACCCCTCTCAGCCCCAGGGGGATGCATTTTACCAGCAGGGCCACCCTACCCAAGACCAGAGCTATGACCTCAAAAAGCCCCACCCCACCAGCAGGAGTGGGTCTACTGTGAGCTGTGTTGTCCTAAGGATTCAGTGTGCCTGGGGAAGGCACTGAGCATTTGCAAAACCACTATACTGTAGCTTCCCCACCTTGGGACAGAGCCCGTAAGACAAGACTACTGATTCACCCTCTACCAGGCAACAGTTTACAGTAGACCTAGAGCCTGACTAGAAGGGCTGCTGGCAGGTTTCCTATTTCAAGCCATAAGGACCATCCAGAACCCTGAAGCTGCCATGAGCTGACAAGTAGGCCCTGCTCCACCTGATGACTGCGGTCACCACTCTCCACCTACTAGACCATCATCTGCCCTGGTGCAGGGACCTAGGCTGGACTGCTGATTCTGGGGCTGAGCTAGGCCAGACCCTGGCTTGGTCTTTCCAGTCCAAGCTTTCTCTCCTTCCCCTTCAGTCCGTAGCTAAGACCCTGGGCTGGTGTGGGAACAAGTCTTATGTTATAGTCCCTCAAGGCACGGAAGAGAAGAAATGTCCAGAAAGACCCTTACCAGAAAATCTCTGCCGAGAAGTCAGGGTAAAGTTGCTCCTCCAAGGGGTATACAAGGACACGTGCTGTACCACACACTGGTAGACAGTCTCAGGGTCTTCCTGAGAGGAGTTCAGCTTCAATTTGCTGGTGACATTAAATGTACCATCCGCATTCTTGATGGTGGGACCAGGGATGACATCCTCAAAAATCTCTACGTGATGGGGAACCTGGCGGGTCCACTTCTCCCATGTTATATTAATAGCTTCTGGGTAGAACCCACTTGACTCACACATAATATATTTGCTTTCATTCTCTTTCACCACCACTTGGAACAATCTGCAGGCTGGGGAAGCTGCCAGGGGAAAGAAAAAAACTTATAGAGTTGGGCCCAGCACCAAACTACCCTTTTATCCCCCCAACACCTTATACTAAGTGGCTTCTACCATACCCTCACACCTGTGCAGCACTGCTCCTGTAGCCAGACAAGACAAAAAACACAGGATGCCTACTCTCTTTAAAGATGGGGACCCTGAGGCATGAGTGATGCTGCAGCCATGTCCAGCAATGAGCTGGAGATTTACAAAACCAGACTGGGCACTCCTTAAGGGTAGGGAGGGTCTAGCTTATTATCAGCCTGACATCTAACCCATGGCAAGCCTTCAGGGCATGTGGTTGACGGAATGCGAGTCTGCTTGGGCTAAATATTCTGGGTGTGTCGGTTCTAGTGCCAACTGGGTGTTGACATGCTGTGACCCCAACTCTCAGAGCAATTTTGTAAAGCACAGTTTTCTTAAGCTACGTTGTGCCACAGAGACCTTTCATAATCTGAGGAAAGCCTTGGAGCACTGTTGTGGTAGAGATTGCTAATTGCTCTTCAATTTCCATTCTATGCATTTTTAGCCGGACATGACACATCCAGATTAAAGCTGCATCACCCAACCTCCTCTACAGGTAGGTTTGGCCATGCAAACTCCGGGTCTAGCAGGTCTGGATTTAAGCAAAAGTGGCAAGAGCAACTTCTAGGAAGTATCCTTAAGTTAAAAGGATGTCTTAAAGGACTGTCTCCTTTTCTCTCTCTCTCCTTCATATTTCCTACAGAATGTTTGGAATACTTTGTGATGACCGGAGATGGAGAAGCCATTTTCAAACACAAGGTGGATGATACATATTAAAGATGGCACAGTTATAAGACAAAAGGATCCTGGGGACTGTATGATCACAGAGGAGCTGCCATATCTGCCCTGGGCTGGCTACATTAGTGTGAAAAGGAAAATAAACTGCTATTTCAAAAGCCACTATTGACTTCCAATTTTCCCTCTAACATATAAAGTCCTGAGAGGTCATCACTCCCATCTTCATAGTAAGAACAAAAGCTGAACAAATTGAAAATCAATAACCTTTCTTAGATCCCTCAGAGAATTGAAGTGACAGGGCAAACTGCCACTCAGAAAACTGGAGAAAGAAGGAGAATAAGAAAATTATAACTAAGATCAAATTACCTCATGCTGCTGGAGTCATAAACTGGTAGAAGTACTTAAGCAGTAGCTCTGACAAATTGTTAAAGGATGAGTGTGGACTAGCTTGAGAATAAAAACCTCCTCAGGTCCTGGTCTTAGGGATGGTACCATACTTTCATGGGTTTTCATCCTCAGGACCCAGTCTTGGGGATGCTACTACACTGTCATGAGGTTTACTTCCAGGAACCCCACCAGATTCTCACTGTAAAGATGCAAGAAAAATATTCTCCTCTTTCTGGGGGATGGAAAGAAGTAATCATTTAAAAATATACCCAGATTATTCCTTCCATCTCAAGGGAAGATGTCGGAGCCTTATCTGACCTGGGAAAAGTAAATTAGCCAACTCCAGCTGTCTATAGCCTTTCTGTATCAGTTAAGAAGAGAGAAAAATAAAAAGCTAAGAAATACTTCTGAAGGTCACAGCCCAGAGGCTCAGGCCACTAAAAGAATAAGATTTAATCATAAAAGTATAGACTGATTCTCCTCCAACCCTTTACCATCACGTCAACAGGGCTCCAGCATAATAACAGAAGATTATAAGTGAGAGAGCTACAAGGCACAGACCCTATTTAAGGAGTTCAAAAGAAAACTCAAAGACAACAGGAAAGGAGATAAACCCCTAGAGGAAACTGAAATTTCTGGCACCTATAGCTACAATAAGCATTAAACACAACCCAGCTCCTAGCCAAATTAACAGAAAGCCTCATAATAAAAGCCCATTTGGCTCAGTTCCTATTACCTGATACATAATATCTATCTTTCAACTGAAAAATTACAAGACATGCTAAAAAGTACATGAAAACAAAGCAAGTATCAGACCTAGACTGAGGGATGACACAGATTTTATAATTATCATAGAGGGAATTTTTTAAAACTATAATTCAAATGTTAAGAGCACTAACAGGAAGAGCAGATAACATGCACAAACAGATGGTTAACATAAGCAGAGAGATGGAAACGCTAAGAAAGAATCAAAAGTGAATGCTAGAACTCAAAATACCATAAAAGAAATGAAGAATGCCTTCAATGGATTCATCAGTAAATTTGAAAATGACAAGGAAAGCATCAGTGAGCTTGAAGATGTTAATAGAAACCTCCCAATCTGGGCAGAGTGTGGTGGCTCACACCTGTAATCCCAGCACTTTGGGAGGCCAAGGTGAGTGGATCACTTGAGGTCAGGAGATGGAGACCACCCTGGCCAACATGGCAAAACCCTGTCTCAACTAAGAAAACAAAAATTAGCCAGGCATGGTAGTGCATGCCTGTAGTCCCAGCTACTCAGGAGGCTAAGGCACAAGAATCGCTTGAATCTGGGAAGCAGAGGTTGCAGTGAGCGAAGATCCCACCATTGCACTCCAGCCTGGAAGATAGAGTGAGACTCCGTCACAAAAAAAATTAAAAAAAAGAAACTTCCCAAACTGAAATAGAAGGAGAAACAATATTTTAAAAAAACAGAATATCTAAGACCTGTGGGATATTGCAAAAGGTGTAGTGTGTGTGTGTGTGTGTGTGTGTGTGTGTGTGTGTGTGTATAGTGGGAATATGAGAGGAAGAAAAGAGAAAGGAGCCAAAGAAATACTTTGAAGAAATAATGGCTGAGAATTTTCCAAAAGTAATGACAGACACCAAACTACAGACCCAGGAAGCTTAGAGAATACCAGGCAGGATAAATATCCAAAAATCCACATCTAGGCATATCATATTTCAGTTTTAGAAAGACAAAGATGCCCAAGCATGGTAGCTCACTCCTGTAATCCCAGAACTTTGAGAGGCCAAGGCAGGCAGACCACTTGAGCTCAGGAGTTCAAGACCAGCCTGGGCAAAATGGCAAAACGCCATCTCTAATACAAAAATTAGCCATGAATGGTGGCACGTGCCTGTGGTCCCAGCTACTTGGGAGGCTGAGGTAGGAGGATCGCTTGAGTTTGAGCCCAGTAAGTTGAGGCTGTAATGAGCTGTGATCACACCACTGCACTCCAGCCTGGGCAACAGGGCAGGATGAAGGGAAGGAAAGGAAAAGAAAAGGGAAAGGGAGGAAAGGGGGAGGGGGGAGGGGAGAGGGAGAGGAGGGGATGGGAAGGGAAAAAGATATTGAGTCAATAACTAACCTAAAAAAAAAAAAAAGAGCCGGGTGTGGTGGCTTATGCCTGTAATCCCAGCACTTTGGGAGGCCAAGGCAGATGGATCACAAAGACAGGAGTTTGAGACCAGCCTGGCCAATATGGTGAAACCCCATCTCTACTAAAAATACAAAAATTAGCCAGGTATGGTGGCAGACACCTGTAGTCCCAGCTACTTGGGAGGCTGAGGCAGAAGAATCGCTTGAGCTTGGGATGCAGAGGTTGCAGCGATCCAAGATCACACCACTGCACTCCAGCCTGGGCAACAGAGCAAGATGTGTCCCCCCACCCCCTCCCAAAAAAAAGAAAAAGAAAAAAAATCACTTTCAAAAAAAGAAAGCACTAGGGTTTGATGGTTTCACTGGTTAATCCTACTAAACATTAAAGAAATAAATAATGCCAGTTTTTTACAATTTCTTCCAGAAAGTAGAAGTAGACAGAGGCAACACATTCTACCTTATTTTACCAGCCCAATATTACCCTACTGCCCAAACCACATAACGTGTTACAAGAAAATTTAACTACAGACCAATACCACTCATTAAAACAGATATAAAATCCTCAAGAAAATATTAGCAAATCTAACCCAACAATGTATAAAAAAATTATACACCATAACCAAGAGAGGCATATTACACATATGCAAGGCTGGTTCATCATTCAAAAATCAGTTAATGTAAGTCATCATATCAACAGGCTAAAGAAAAGCTTACATGATCATACCAATAAGGCAGAAAAAGTATCTGACAAAACCCAACAATTATTCATATGAAAAACTCTTAGCAATCTAGGAATAAAGGGAAACTTCCTCAACTTGTTAAAGAATATTTACCAAAAAGTAGCTAACATCATACTTGATGGTTAAAAAGTAAAATCAGGAATAGGCAAGATGTTCCTTCTCACCACTCCTATTCAACATTGTAATGGAAGTCCAAGCTAGCATAACAGGACAAGAAAAGGAAATAAAAGGTATAAGGTTAGCATGGAAGAAGCATGAGGCAGGCACAGTGGCTCACACAAAAATGGAATCCCAACGTTTTGGAAGGCCAAGGTGGGAGGATCACTTGAGCTCAGAAGTTCAAGACCACCCTGGGCAACATGGTGAGACCTCATCTCAATAAAATAAAATAAAACAAAATAATAGAAGAAATACAACTGTATTTTTCACAGACAGCATGATTTACCTAGAAAAATTCCAAGACTTGTCCGAAAAAAAACCTCCTAGAATGAATAAGTGATTAAAGCAAGTTGCAGTATACAAAGTTAATATGCAAAAATCAGTTACTTGACAGGAATGAACAATTGGACAACTGGAATTTGAAATTATAATACCATTGGCCAGGTGTGGTGGTTCACACCTGTAATCCTGGCACTTTGGAAAGTGAAGCTGGTGGCTCATTTGAGATCAGGAGTTTGAGACCAGCCTGGCCAACATGGTGTAACCTTGTCTCTACTAAAAATACAAAAATTAGCCAGGTGTGGTGGCACATGCCTGTAATCCCAGCTACCTGAAAGGCTGAGACAGGAGAATCACCTGAACCCAGGAGGTGGAGGTTGCAGTGAGCCGAGATAGCACCACTACACTCCAGCCTGGGCAACCCAGTGAGACTCTGTCAAAAAAACAAACAAAAAGATGTCAATTTTTCCCAACTTGATCTATAGATTCAATGCAATCACAATCAAAATCCTAGAAAGTTATTTTGCAAGTATCAACAGACAGATTCTCAAGTTTATATGGAAAGACAAAAAAACCAGAGAGCTAACACTATACTGAAGAAAGGCAACATAAATGAAGGACCAACAGTACCTGACTTCCCGACTTACTATTAAAATACAGTAATTAAGACAGTGTGGTACTGGGGAAAGAAGAGAGAGAGATCAGTTAAACTGAATAGAACAGGGCGTGGTGGCTCATGCCTATAATCCCAACACTTTGGAAAGCTGAGGCAGGTGAGATCATTTGAGCTCAGAAGTTCCTGACCAGCCTGGACTCCACGGTAAAACTACATCTCTACAAAAATTGACTGGGAATGGTGGTATGAGCCTGTAGTACAAGCTACTCAGGAGGCTGAGATGGTAGGATTGCATAATCCCAAGAGGCAGAGGCTGCAGTGAGCCGAGATCGTGCCATTGCACTCTAGCCTGTATTAAAAGAAAAAAAAAAGAAACTGAATAGAAAGCCCAGAAACGGATCCATACAAAAATATTCAACTGATCTTTTGACAAAGGAACAAGGCAATTCAATGAAGAAAGGACAGTCTTTTCAACAAATGATGCTGGAACAATTAGATGTTCATATAAAAAAAAATGCATATAGAATATAGACACAACCCTTACACTTTTCACAAAAATTAAAGCAAAATTCATGATAGACCTAAATGTCAATGGTAAAACTATAAACCTTCCAGACAATAACATAGGAGAAAATCTAGGTAGCCTTGGGTTTTGTGGATGAGCTTTAGGATACAATGTTAAAAGCGTGATCCATGAAGAAAAATGCAGTAAGTTTGACTTTATTAAAATTAAGAACTTTTGCTCTACAAAAGACGTTGTTAAGAGAATGAAAAGACAAGCCACAGACTGTGAGAAAATATTTGTGAAACATCTATCTAATAAAGACTTGTATCCAGAATGTACAAAGGACTCTTAAAATGCAACAATTTAAAAAAAAATGAGCCTAGTTAAAAATAGGCCAAAGAGCTGAACAAACATCTCATCAAAGAAGACATACAATTCCCAGAATTCTGGGAGGCAGAGACAGGCAGATCATTTGAGCCCAGGAGTTCAAGACCAGCCTGGGCAACATGGCAAACCCATCACTACAAAAATTACAAAAATTAGCCAGGCATGGTGATATGTACCTGTAGCCCTAGCTACCTAGGAGGCTGAAGCCTGGGAGAACACCTGAGTCTGGGAAGTCGAGGCTGTAGTGAGCTGTAATCGCACCACTGCATTCCAGCCTGAACAGCCAATAAACACACAAAAAAAGAAGACATATGAATGACAAATAAAAATATGAAAATATGTCCAACATTATGTCATTAGGGAACTGCTAAATAAAGCAACAAATGAAATACCACTATATACTTATTAGAACGGCAAAAATCCAGGCTGGATGTGGCAGCTCATGCCTGTAATCCCAGCACTTTGGGAGACTGAGGCGGGAAGATCACCAGAGGTCAGGACTTCAAGAACAGCCTGGCCAACATAGTGAAACTCCATCTCTACTAAAAATACAAAAATTAGCTGGGCATGGTGGCGGGTGCCTATAATCCCAGCTACTTGGGAGGTTAAGGCAGGAGACTCGCTTGAACCTGGGAGGCAGAGGTTGCAGTGAGCCAAAGTCCTATCACTGCACTCCATACTGGGCAACAGTGCAAGACTCCATCTCAAAAATGATCTCCAAAAAAAAAAACAAAAAAAAAGGAATTGCTAGAAAGCACTGCAGTCTAATAGACAAAGTTGCTTCTTATGGGGGTACAGGTTAATAATTAAACAATTAAATAAACAGAAGATGGTGGGTACAGGTTTCTCACTGGTGGAGTGGGAGTTTACAGATATACAGAGAAGGAGACTAGAATGATCCATGTGGTAATGGATTACAGTTGGAGACATCAGTAAGAACAAATGTTTAATTTAATATAGAAACAGGTGGTTACACATAGAAATATTTATAGATATGCATATATGCAGAGGTTAGTACACATACATATATTTCTTTGCTCTGTCGGCTGAGACGGTCTAGAATCAATGATACCTCAGTAGCAAAAAGTACATCTAGTGTTCAGATCTTGGTTTCTAATATCATTTTCCAATAAAAGGAACCAAGGATTCTTGGAATATTGGTTGGTTCTAGGAAATATACAAGAAAGGAAATAATACGAGATGAATCTGTAACATTTTATAGTGCCAAAAAGTAAAAAGTGCTTAACATAAAACAAAATCCTTGACATGGATTTGCCAAAAATTAAAAAAGTAAAATAAAACAAAATTCTACAATGATTGGGTTATATCAATGGGACACAAGAGTCAAGTGAATGAGTTCCCAGTGGCCAAAGCTTAAACAATTTGAGAAAAAAATAAAGAGGCATTGCATTATGACACAAAATATAAAATAAATACCCTTGAGTCCTTATTGATATCAATGATTGAATAAATTCATAAATGGGAGAAAAGAGATAAATTTCCCATGCAGAAGAATTCTAAAAAAAAAATTATGTAGATACTCCACCCCCAAGGAGGAAGAACATAAGTAACTCCCCCCACCTTAAGTGTGAGCTGCACAGAATGACTTCATTTCAAAGAGTACAGTATGAAAATAGGGAGAAGGGTAACTTTTAAGTAGAGAAATCAAACAATTACTACTTCAACTAGGTGATCAAAGTCAACATCTACAGTCATAGTCATGTGATTTGATGTGATGAAAATGGCAGTTTACCTCTGCGATGTTCCTCCAAAAACCCCAAGTCCAATTATGAGGAAGAGAGCAGACAAATCCTAATTGAGTGACATGCCACAATGTACCTGACCAGTAGCCTCACCAAACTGTCAAGGGCATCAAAAGTAAGGTCTAAGGAATTGTCACAGCAAAAAGGTGCCTAAGAACATATAACAATTAAATGTAATGTGGTACTCTGATGGGATCCTGGAGCAGGAAAAGGACATTAGGTAAAAACTAAGGAAATATGAATAAACTATGGACTTTATAGTAAGATGTCAACATGGGTTCATTAATTATATCAACGTACCATAAGAATGCAAGGGTATGCAGAGTGAGAGTGATATGAGAACTCTCCTACTATCTTTGCAATGCTTCAGTAAATCTAAAACTGCCCTAAAAAAAAATCTATTAATGTCTCTTAAAGTCACTGTTGACCAGGCATGGTAGCTCACCCCTGTAATGCCAGCACATTGGGAGGCCAGGGCAGGAGGATCTTTTGAGGCCAGGAGTTGAAGACCAGCCTGGACAACACAATAAGGTCCCATCTCTACAAAAAATGTAAAAATTAGCCAGGCATGGTGGCATGTACCCGAAGTCCTAGCTACTCAGGAGGCTGAGGCAGGAGGATCACCTGAGCCCGGGAGTTTGAGGTTACCGTGAACTATGATTGTGCCATGCACTCCAGCCTGGGCAACAGAGCAAGACCCTGTCTCCTATGTAGACCCTTTCTATAGATACATAAAGTCTGGAATAACAATGGCTATATATACGGGCAACTGTCAGTTGCCCGTATATATAGCCACTGTTGCTGTTATTCCTATGTCAATTGCAGAGGAAATTAATCCTAATTAATATGCCTCTCACTCTCAAAATTACTATGAACAAAACAATCAAAGTCAATGTACAATTATGGAGGGCCCGTGATGGGCTGAATTATGTCCTCCTAAAATTGTTATGTCCTCCCAGAATTCCCAGTATCTGTGAATGTGACTGTATTTAGAGATAGGTTCTTTAAAGAGGTAATTAAGTTAAAATGGAGTTATTAGTGTGGGCTCTTATCTAAAATGATTGGCATCCTTATAAGAAGAGGAAATTAGGACACAGACATAGGCACAGAGGAAAGACCATGTGAAGACACAGAGAGAAGATGGCCAGAGGAGAGAGGCCTCAGAAGAAACCAATCCGGAAGTAAGAAAATAAACACCTGTTATTTAAAGCTACCCAGTCCTATTTTGTTACGGCAGCTTAGCAAACTAACACAGCCATCAAGCTCATCCATGTATTGTCAGATCATTTTATAATACAGCAAAGTGGAGCTCGAAGAGGTGTTTTGGTTTTGTTACTGTTAACCCCAACCGTGGGAACTGTAGGGCACTGCCCCGAGGCACTCACCCACAACTCCAAGCCAGATCCTTCCGTGTGCCTTCTTAGGGGTGGATACCACCTCACATCGGTACTCTCCTGCTTCCTCCAGCTGGACTCCAGGCAGCTGCAGTGAAGCATCTCCACTCTTCAGCCTCCATGGAGACACACTGGCTCCAGGTCGAAATGCCTTTAGGTGGTCTCCAAAAAATTCAAATACCTTGAATTCTTTGTCAAATGTTGGACTCTTCCGAAACCAGGTGATACCTACACTCGTGATGTTGTGGGGTTCAGAATCAAAGAAATTGCAGAATATAGTGACATTGTCATTCAGGGGTGTGGTCTGAGTCCCTCCTTCCATCATCTCCACTTTGAGTTCACCTATGGCAGTAAGAGAACACAATGTTCAGTTTTCCAATTTATGAATATGTTTTTGGGATGTGCTATTGACTGAATGCTTGTATCCTCCAAAATTTATATTGAGGCCCGACCACCCCACCATGTGATGGTATCTGGAGGCAGGGCCTTTGGGAAGTGATTAGGTCATAAGGGAAGAGTCCTCATGAGTGGGATTAGTGCCCTTACAAGAAAAGACATGAGGGCCGGGCATGGTGGCTCACACCTGTAATCCTAGCACTTTGGGAGGCCAAGGCGGGCAGATCATGAGGTAAGAAGTCACGACCAGCCTGGCTAACATGATGAAACCCTGTCTCTACTAAAAATCCAATTCATTAGCTGGGTGTGGTGGTGGAGCCTGTAATCCCAACTATTCGGGAGGTTGAGGCAGGAGAATTGCTTGAACCCAGGAGGCAGAAGTTGCACTAAGCTGAGATCGTGCCACTGCACTCCAGCCTGGGCAACAGAGCAAGACTCTGTCTCAAGATTTTAAAAAAGTAGACAAGACAAGACATGAGGCTGGCATGGTGGTTCACACCTGTAATCCCAGCACTTTGGGATTCTGAGGCGATCACCTGAGCCTAGTAGTTCCAGACCAGACTAGGCAATATAATGGGACCTCATCTCTATAAAAAATAAAAATAAATTAGCCCAGCATGGTGGTTAGGACCTGTAGTCCCAGCTACTTGGGAGGCTGAGGTGGGAGGATCTCTTGTGACCAGAAGTTCAAGGATGCAGTCAGCCATGATAGTGCCACTGCACTCTAGCCTGGGTGACAGAGTGAGCCTCTGTCTCAAAAATAAATAAATAAGAAAAGACACGACAGGCCACATGTGGTAGCTCATGCCTGTAATCCCAGCACTGTAATCCCTCCCACTACTTGGGAGGCCAAGGTGGGTGGATCACCTGAGGTCAGGAGTTCGAGACCAGCCTGACCAACACGGAGAAACCCTGTCTCTACTAAAAGTACAAAATTAACCAGGCATGGTGGCGCATGCCTGTAATCCCATCTACTTGGGAGGCTGAGGCAGGAGAATCACTTGAACCCTGGAGGCGGAGGTTGCAGCGAGCTGAGATCGCCCCATTGCACTCCAGCCCAGGCACAAGAGCAAAACTCCCATCTCAAAATAGAAAGAAAGAGAGAAACAGAGAAAGAGAGAAGGAAGGAAGGAAGGAAGGAAGGAAGGAAGGAAGGAAGGAAGGAAGGAAGGAAGG